GCCAAAGTTGCTTCTCTGCATGTACTTATTGATAACCCCAAGCAGGGCCTGTCAGGGTGGGCTGCTGACTATCAACAGCAGGTGTGGAAGGACGACACCCCGGCATAATTTATTTCATTCTGTCACAAAGCAGTTGTTTTTCTTTGTCATATACAAGTGGATTAAAACAACTTCGCTTAAGTCATAAATGAGGGGATTTAAAATCATTTTAAACCTATACACAACACTAGCAAGTACAGCCTGGATTCTGAGCGAGGACTTGACTCTCATCCAGAAGTCTGACTTGATTGAGAACCCGGGCTCTTCATTCTTATGCTTAAATACCTCTCCCTCCTGGCTGTTTTTCTCATGGGTTATTTACTTTTTTCTTAGTATTTTGCAAGAGCTCTTTGTATTTTGTTTGTAGGGGCTTAGAGTAGGGAAGTGCCTATTTGGATTGAATGGTAAACATAATTCTCACAGTTCAGGCGGTCAGCATGTGGAGGGCAAATGCAATCAGAGATGACAGGCGACCAACCAAAATCAGAGCAGAAGCCTGCAAGATGAGTGGACTTCGACCCTCTTTGAGAAAAACCAAGAGTGACTCATGGGAGGAAGATGGAAACCAAAGCTTCCAGGTGTCCCCTGTGATCAGACAGTCCAAAGTCTTCAGGAAGCGGAAAACCTGAAATAGAGCTGGCCAGGAGCTGCCCGAAGACGCAAGCAAATGAGACCCACCCACTGCTGCCTGGAAACCAGGCCAGAAGGCAGAGCACAGCTGCTGAGCGGCACTCTGCAGAGGAGGAGAGGCCCTGAGGGAGCAGGTAAGGAGCCAGAGAGGGTCATGAAGATCTGGGTCACAGTGCCTTGGAGTCCCAAGTGGCAGCCCAGTCCAGGTGAACAATGGCCTGGGGAGGCAGGGCTCCTGGGGTCATCTTTCAAGCTCAACCATTATTTAGCTGTGAAGCCTTGGATGGGCAAGTCACTTCACCATTCTGAGCCTTGGCTTCCCCCTCTATAAAATGGGTATAAAAATATCATATTATAGAAGGCATTTCTACCATCTAGATATGAGTTGCCATACTTAGATCCTAGCAAGGACTGGGGCTCTTTGTAAACTGTGAAATGCTATAAAAATACTGTCTCTTGAGGTTGAAAATGTTGGGATGATGCTATAGACAATATTTGGCAAACTGACTTGGTCAAAGACAGAGTGGATGCCTTTGGGGTGGTGTTTGAGATTTGCGGTAGCAGAGAAGTCCTGGCTTGGAAGTGAGTAGTGGATACTCCGCCAGGGTCTTTCCTGGAGAGTCTAGATTCTGACCAGCTGATTCTGCAACAGCAGTGGATGTCTGAGGGCCACAGCAGATAAGGGCCAAGATGCATGAGACAGGGATCGTATCTCCTCTTTAGAGCTTGGCCATGGAACTTCAGAAATGTAGGTCAGCTTTGGGGGGAGGGGAGATCCTTTAGAGTAGTAGGACAAGTTTACTGTAGTAGAGTTCGAATTTTCAGATAAGCTCATTTAAAAAGACACAAACACCTATAATCTTATCCCCCGAGATAACCATTGTTGACATTTTGGTGTCATTTTTTCTCATTGTACACATATACTGGAAAATTAGGTTATATTCTAACATGGCTTTCTTGATGATATAACCCTAATGTCTTTCCATATTAATAAATGTTTTATCACATCATTTTAAAAGCTGCAGAATATCTCTTTATATGGGTGGGCCAGAATTTATTTAACTGATATCCCACTATCAGATACGTAGGTAGTTTTCAATTCTTCACAGTCAGAGCAGTGCTTTGAAGGGTATTTCTGTAATCAATTTGGGTGTTCCTCAAAGCTCAGCATACAATGTTTTATAGTCTCGAAGCTGGCTCGACCCTTCCTCTCTCTCAAATCCATTTGCAGTGAAAATGCCAACCCCTCATATATGGTCTTTACGGGTGCCAGCCTCCATCTAGGAGCTTTGCCCCGCTTTTAGCTTCCTTTTCAGAAGAACATGAAGCCGGGAGGGGTTAAACGACCCTAATAAGCAGTGGATCTAGGGTCGTGAGCCATGACAGCGTGGTTCCCGTGTTCGGTTCCAGCTCCAGAGCTACTTTCACCCTGTCCCTTCGCTCTTCTCCGCCGCTGCCCGCTGCCCGGCTGTGTCAAGTACCGCCGAGCCAGCCTGGGCCCCTGCTGGAGTCCCTCCCGGTCTTCCACGTCCGCTCTGTCCTTTGCCACGTGGTCTCCGCTCTGCAGGGGATGGTGTTTGGTGTTTTCAAACTACTAGAAACGGGACCGGTCGGTCACCCCCCCCCCCGCCCCCCCCCCCCGCCAGCTCCCAGGCAGCCCCCCCCCTCGCCTCCTCCCCCCGGTGCCCTGAGCCGCATTCCCGCCCCAGCTCCCCCAGCCGCACCTCAGCCCTCCGGACTCATTTCACTTCCTCGAGTGGGCAGGCCTTTTCTCACCTTAGGGCTTTGGGACATGTTCCCCTGACCTGGAACATTCTTCCTCCACGCGGCACAGCTGGACTCTTCCCGTCCTTCAGTCTCAGCTTCCGCGCCAGCTCTTTGGAGAAACCTTCCCGGGTGATCTTATCTGAAGCAGCCACCGCCACCCCCAACCCATTTTAACTTTTTTGTAAATACGTTTTTATTGATTTTTTCAGAGAGAGAGAGAAACAGCAATGTGAGAGAAACATTGATCGGCTGCCTCCTGCATGCCCCTACCAGGGATGGAGCCTGCAGCCTGGGCCTGTGCCCTGACCAGGAATCAAACGGGGACCTCTCAGTCCATGGGACGGTGCGCAAGCCACTGAGCCGCACTGGCCCGGCCCATTTAGACTTTTTGTCCTTGATCATATTCATTAAAATTATATATTTACTTATTGCCCGTTTCTCATTAAGTGTCTCTTTCCCTTGCTAGACTATAAAGGTCGTGAGGTCAAAGATGATGTCTGCTTTGTTCAGCACTATTGACCCAGTGCCCTGCGCAGTGCCTGGCCTACAGTGAGCCCTCAGTGACTCAGTAGCTGTTTGTAGCATGGATGGACGGCAGAGAAGGCGTTCGTTGGTAAGGATCCTTAGAAAACTGTCCTAGCTTTGGGCAGAGCTGTCCCATCCTCCTGCAGACCTTGGTGCTGTCTCCCCTGCACAGAGCAGGGACCGGGTTTAGAAGAAGCCAGGAGGCCCTGGGTGAGAGAGTGTAAGCAGGTTTTGCTTCAGGCATCAACTCAGTCAGGGTAGATGATGCCGGATCAGGGCACAAGGGAGATTCACTGTCCCCCAAAGCCCCTGCACAGGTCCCAGATTCCTACCACAAAAGGAATCTCCTGAGAAATACAAATGCTATCTAGTTACTCAGACAGCCAGCAGGCAGCGGAAAGGGTGAGTGTGCTCCTTTATGACGGCACATGGTGGTGGTCGGCAAGTCCCAGCTGGGTGACCTTGGCTGACAGTCATTTCTTACCTTCCATCTGCAAAATGTGTGGCTGGGACAGAGAAGTTTTTAAACTTATTTTCCTCAGCAGCTCAATTCTTAAACTTATTCAAATAACCGATATGAGAAAAACTGTTTCCGGTTGAAATGGGGGAGCAGGGCTGGAGCCGTTCCTCCTCCTTCCTGATCCCCCCTTTTAAGTCTCCAAGGGTTGGGATGGCCAACCCTCAGACCAGAAGATCGCAGCTCTCAGTGCCTGTGTTCCGGTTGCAGCTTCTTGAGCACATGAAATGATCAGAAGGGGAGCGGCGAGGACTTGCAGAATCTGACCTTGGAGATTTTAGGCGGGGTAAGTAGGTGAATTTCACAGCAACTGAAGTGCAGGGCAGGCAGACCCTTTGAAGAAGGAGGTTTCAGTCATTTTAGAGAAGACTGAGGGCCCAGGAGGGAGGAAGCCCAGAAGGCTCAATTACCCTCTTCACAATCTAGAAAAAGGAAACTGCCACCCCCACCTTTCCAGCCAATGATCCTAGGTCTCGAAGGGTCTGCCCACATAGTTGACTTCCAGGGTTGGTTGGTTGCCAAGCCCTGGGGGAACCCCAGTCCCCCACTGCCCCACCCCACGACCACCTGGGCAGCTTTCTGGCCTTTGCCACAGGCAGGTGTGCTCAAGAGGTTGCAGCCCAGGCCATCTGGCAGCTCAGGTGCTGCGTGTGTGCTGCCATGGAGACGGCCCTGGGTTGGTGGCAAGAAGGCAGTCAGTCTCCCAGAGCTTTGTGGATTCAGGAGAGGGAGAGGCTGGAGCCTCAGGCCCTGCAGGGTAGTCTGCTGACCACTCTAGTGCCAACTGAAGCCCAGGTGGGTGCCCTGGGGGTTTTCTGGGACCAAGGGAGGGAGGAGGAGCCAGGGGAGGCCGAGCCTTGGGAAGAGGCTCTGGAAGGATTGATTTGGGGACCTGTGCAGGGGAGCCTCCAAGCTGCCAGGTCAAGGGGAAAGGCCCTGCCAGGGCTCCCTTGCCAAAGCCCTGCACAAAAGACTGGACAGATGGGCTCCGGAGGGCTGGCCCTCCGGCCCAACGTGGGAGGAGGGGAAGAGGGCCTGGCCTTTGTTCCCAGAGGTGCAGGCTGGGGAGTTCACAGAGCCCATCCCTGCACTAGTCAGGGATTTGAGGCAGCCAGGAAGGAAGTCGCTGCTCTCTAGTGCAAACCACTGACTGCAGCTCCCCTCCCCTCCCTCTGCCTGGAGTCCGAGAAGCCAAGGGCAATCACATGGAGCTTAAGGAGCATTTTCATCCATTTCCAAAGCTGGGTGCAGTCTGCTCCAGTGGCAGCTCATCACTAGTGGGGTTGCACAGGCCGACACCCTGACAGAGGGGACACTGCAGGAGCACCAGACTTACTTCTGCGGCTTAGGACTGGACGATCTGGAACAAATCACGTCATCTCTTTGAACCTGTTTTCTTATCTGTGAAATGTAGGTGATAATACCTGTTAACAACTCACAGCAGAGCCCAGGACCAAGCACAGGGACAGAGCTTAATGAGTGTTCTTCTGCTTCTTTTCTCTTCCTGCCTGGATGCCTTTTGCCAGCCCTCCTGGCTTCTGGTCTGAAGATGGCTGAGCAGCAGGGCCGGGAGCCTGAGTGCCCTGTCTGCTGGAACCCCTTCAACAACACGTTTCACACCCCGAAAGTGCTGGACTGCTGCCACTCCTTCTGCGTGGAATGCCTGGCCCACCTCAGCCTGGTGACTCCAGTCCGGCGCCGGTTACTGTGCCCCCTCTGTCGTCAGCCCACTGTGCTGGCCTCCGGGCAGCCTGTCACTGATTTGCCCACAGACACCGCCATGCTCACCCTGCTCCGCCTGGAGCCCCACCACATCATCCTGGAAGGCCATGAGCTTTGTCTCAAGGACCAGCCCAAGAGCCGTTACTTCCTGCGCCAGCCCCGGGTCTACACGCTGGACCTAGGCCCTGAGCCTGGGAGCCAGACGGAGGCCCCCCAGGCCACGGACCCCACCGCCACGCCTCTGCCCATCCCCAGCCACTACGCTCTGAGGGAGTGCTTCCACAACCCTCAGTTCCGCATCTTTGCCTACCTGATGGCCGTCATCCTCAGTGTCTCTCTGTTGCTCATCTTCTCCATTTTTTGGACCAAGCAATTCCTTTGGAGTATGGGGTGAGCATGTTCCAGACACGAAACCAAACTTATCTCAGCTGCTGCTGGTTGTGGGGACGGCAGAGCCTCACCTACAGTTGTCTTCCTCTGTAACACCAGTCATTTGTACAACCCACGGATCAGCGAGGCCATGCGTTTGCCTCTGGGACCAGAGTCCTACTATAATGAGACCCTCTGAAAGCTAAAGGGCTGGGAAAAGATGCAAGGAGGCCTCTGGGTATTAAACAGGGGGTCATGGAAGGGCAGGGACGCAGATCTGTGATTATAGAACTACACACCAAGTTGTGCCAAAGGGCCGGACAACTGTCTCCAGGAACCTGACTAGCCCAAACAGCAAGCTGCATTTCTCACCGGGCTGCTTCGAACTTGCTCACTGTTTAAACTCTATTTTGTACTTTTTATTGTGTTGCTAAAAAATTTGGGAAATGAGCTTCAATTCTGTGAGCAAAATGCGTGTCTCCCCCTTGCAGTTTTCTATCTTGCCACCAGTCCCAGTAAAAGTGGTCTGTGTTCATTCATTTATTCACTTATTCAAACATGTATTCGGCTGTGTCAGAACTAGGGAAAGAGAAGGGCAGGGCTGTCCAGGGTGGCAGAGAGCACTTAGCAGCAGGGAGGGCGTGCTCTTTGCTGCTTCTGGCACAAGGCCACCTCTTGTGGGTAAGCGCTTTATGGAATGTTGAGTCTGCAAGTTTGAAGGTGAAAGCAGGCAGGGTTAATGGATCAAAAGAACCCTGGGATTTGGAGGAAAAGGTTTTTATTCCTCTTGATAGGTGCAGAGACCCTGATGAGAAGACTAGATGCAGGGTGGAGCCAAGCACTGAAATTCTGGCCTCAAGAGGTAGTCAAAAACCCTGGATAGAGTAAAAGCCTTAGCTCCCATCCCAGGCCGTGCAGAATCTAGGAACCAAAGAAAATTAGGTAGGATTCGGATGCCCGAGCTGCTGCTTGACTGCAAGGTGCCATTTCCGCAGTGTCTAAAAACCCAGCTTTCTGCTTCCCACGTGTTTCTATTGCCTGGTGGCCCAGGGCCCTAAGCAATGTCAAAGTGGTTAAAACACCATCACAATTATAAAAAGAAAACATTTTGTTTTGTTTTTGGTAAAATAGGCTTTCAGAGACCTGAAACTGAGTTGGTTTATTTGCTCCAAACATTTGTGCATTTAATGGAATTAGCTTCTATAAATTCTTAGGGGGTCTTAACGTACAAGATATTCCAAAATAGCCAAAACATATATTTCACATTTAGTAAAACCAAATGGTCTTAAGATGTGAAGAAAAAGTGAAAAAAAGTTCTCCATTACAAAACTGGAAAGTCACCAACGTATCCCGCCAGGGGACTAGTACCTACCGCTCCACTTGCGCCATCAAAAATAATTGCACCAAAGCTGGGACTCAACTTCTTCCCACTGACTTCATTTCTCTACATGTCCTTGCTCCTTAACCTTGTGGCAGGTAAGTTAGGCAATGAGCTCACCATGTTCTCAGAGATAAGAGGAACAGGGAGAGGAGCTGGGGGAGCTCAGGAAGGAACACATGCTTCTGCACTTCGGCCCACTAACCCAGTGAAGTAAACTTTATCCCCATTCACAGATCAAACTGAGGCTCCACAAGGTTAGCTGCCCTGTTCAAAGTCACCTAGCTATTAAGTTATGGAGAATTTTCAACTGAACTAAGACTTATTTTCCTGAAATGTTTATAGCCATCCAAATAAGAAGACATTGGTCTGAATCTTTTTGGACAGGAAAACATCCTCACATTCAGTAGTTCTAACCTCGAGGCAATGCCATCCTCCTAGGGGGCACCTGGAAATGTCTGGGGCTATCTTTGGTACACCAATCAAGTGGGTGGATTGTGCTTCTGGCTTTTAGTACTCCAGAGGTCAGACATGCTACAATGCTACGATAGCTCCACACCAACACATCATCTATCTCAAAATGTAAATCATTTCCTGCTGGATAACACTACAGGATCCTCATGGGTTCCTGAGGTAGAAATGCTGCAAGTATCAACTCCCTTCGGCACGAAGTCAGAGGGAGATGCAGTGACTTGTCAAAGGGCCACAGAAAACGTGGAGAGGTTAAAGCTGCACAGGTCACACTCGCTAAACTTATCTATCTGGCCAGTGTTCCCAACAGATTCAATAAAACCCTATGCTATCTCTTCATAAGGCCATACACAGACAGACCAGGATTCACCACTTACTAACTGGGTAACCTTGAACAAGTCATTTTACTTCTCTGAGCTTTAGTTTTGTCTGTAAAGAAGTAACTCCTAAGATGTGGAGGGTTACATGAGACATCTGAATGTGCCTGGCACAATGTCTAGCCAGAGTTAAGTGTCCTGTTAAGTGGTAGCTATATTTATCTCATCATTATCATCAAATGCCACACTTAGTTTATGCTCCTCAGCAAACCACTTCCTTAGTGTATTTCCAGTGAAGAAATGTATATTCCACAAGACACTTGTTTTGCCAAAGACTTCGATAAAATGCTTTCACCCAGTTGCTGCCTCTAAATCTCTTGAACCACACCCCACCCCCAAGACAAGGTTAACAGGATAGTAAAATGTAAAATTGAAAAACTCAAAACCTTAATACATTATATGCTCTATATCCAAACTGCATGCCAATACACTAATGTTGATTATTAGTTTACACATACTACAAAGGTAGCAATGAAAATAATTTCTTTTCATGGCCAACTATGGAGGAAATAGCATCCATTAATACTTAAACAACAGTGAAGTACCCAATTGAGAGCAGAGCTGGGAATTTAGATGCTTAACAAGTACACAGGATATGAAACAACTTGGTTATAAATGAAATCAGATTAAACAAATTATTTATGTATCACACAATAACAGCTTGAAGAATAGAGCTAGACAAGTCGCTCTCAGCCCCTTTAGAGTAGCAAGTAGAAAGTGTTTAACACTTCAAGGAGTAGCCATCATATAAGCCCTCTTTGAATTCTCTATGTACAATCCTTTCTTCTCCCAAATTTCTATATTTTTGTATGAATTTACTGTGTGCTTCCAGAGTTCAGTGATTGTATATTTGGGGTAGAAAAAGGTGATGGTAACTGCTGGATAGCCAATGAGTAAGGATTAGGGTCCAGACATAGTTCACTGGTAGTCTGGCCCATAATGCAAGAGCCCTCTATTAAAAAAAAAAAAAAATGAACAGAGTGCTCATTAAGGAGACAAGAAACCGGAGTAATCATATTTGAGATCATGTGCTATATCGCAAACCAAAAACAAGGACCTCGATGGACCAAAGGCTGGATTCAGAAAAGACTTAACTATGCAAAAATAACTATTCAAAGAACAGTTATTACAATAGGATTTTACTCTGTAGCAAGTATGTAACAAAGAAAATAAAAGGGAAAAGTTTATATTTAGGAATACCCATTAGGGATTTTTTCCAGAGTTACCTTGACATGAAGGGTATATCCTTAACATAACCAACAGAAAGGAGGTTGCACAACAGAGACATCATGTTAGCTTTCTAAAAATTTCATTGAGTCTTGACACAATAGCCTAGTTTTGGGATAACATGAAAAATACCAAACTTCAAAGAAAAATCAAAGACATTTTCCAACAAGGCAAATGTTCAGTTCTGAGCTTCCTGATGCTCCCTGATACAGGTAGCATTCCAGTGAAGCCAACAGGAAGAGGTAAAATCTTCTTTACTGCTTAACCCTGAGCAGAGCTGTGGGTTTACCTCTTCAGCTCCCCTTCTCAAGGCAGAGGAAAGGTTCCTGCTTTGTCGGGCAGTACTGAACCAATGCATGGTGAGATGTGCTCTTTGCTTGAGGGCTCCCAGACTGCAGCCCAGCCACCGTGCTCTCTGGTCACGTGCAGTCCTGAAGCATGTACCATGTAATGGAAAGCCAAGTTTCAAGAATTAAAAATGGAGCCAGTCACAATCCTGAGTGCTGTGAGGAAGGCAACAGGGTAGTCAAAAGATTAATAAAAACAACTGTATACACAGTTACTGGCAGGGCTTGAGGATGAAATTAAAATTCAAGCATGAAAAGGGTTCACCAACACCCAGGAAATGGGCTGCCTGCTTGGAGTGGGGGCTGATATGGAAATCTGATCTACTGAGGATCTATACATGGTAATTGGCAACAAACATGATAGAACAAAACACACAATTCCTTTCTTTTGAAACTGGCTCTGAAGCGAGAGCTTGAGGTTTGAGTCCTTTTCCTATGCTTGTGCCTATTCAGCCATCCATAGCTTGAAGGTCCTGTCATATGAGCAAGTGGCTATAAGCTGCCCATCAGAAGAAATGTCTAGACCCATCACTTTGCCTTCATGGCCAGCCAAAGTCTTCAGTGGGGACCAGCCTGGGTGGGTCCAGATCTTGGCTGTGTTGTCATAGGCACCAGTGAGCAAGAAATTCCCATGGATAGCTACAAGAGAAGAAAAAGAGGAGTTGCTTGCTTATGGAATTTAAATATTCAAAAAGCTTAAGAAAATAAAAGCACAAAAATCTTCAAGAACTTATTTCAAAAAAGAAAGTATTTCTACATTCAGAAAAACCCAACACTCTGATCTATACTCCTACTAGGCCTCCAGGAAAAAGGGGTAACTACAGGGAGACTGACGGAAACGAACAACATGATGAAAGTTTTTTGGCTCTTTGACAACCTGTTCAGAATATTATTAAGAATTCAGTGCTTAGGATTTCCATGGAGAAAAAATATAGCAAAGAATTTATGAAATCTTTCTTACTTCCCAGCAAGAAGAAGCATGCTCTGCCATAGTTCTGTCTGAAAGTAGGGTAGAGGGAAGAAAATGATATTTTGCTTCTTCAACAAGAGTCCAAATTCTCTCCTGTTCCACATCCAAGTTAAACTAAAGCCTGGCCTGCATTCCACGAAAGTGCAATCTGTCTTTCTCATGATTCTAAAACGGGGGGAAAGCTTACGCTCAAACTTGACACCAGTCACTAAGTTCTGATGGGCAGGGATGGTATAGATGCAGCGCCGCTGTCGAAGGTCCCACACTTTGCAGGTGTTGTCACCACTGCCAGTTGCAATGTGGTAGCTGTGGATCAGAGGTAGTATCTAAGTTAGAAACAAAGAGTACTTCCTGACCAAGAAGTCTTTCCACCCTATCATTCAATGAGCTTATTTTACCCGTTGGGAGAGAAATTTATTCCATAGATTTCCTTCAGATGCCCTTCTAGGAACATGATACAACGTCCTGTACGCAGGTCCCAAACTCGACCAAACGCATCCAGTCCCCTGATAAGATAATTTAAAGTGAACACTTTGAATCCAGTTCTCTGTGGAAGCAGGCATACATAAGAGGTGAGACTACTGAGCTGCCCCTGGCTATGTGGAAAAGGCCTTACCCAGTGCCAGCCAAAGAGCCATCTTGATGGAAGGCAATGTCATACACGCCCATGCTGTGGCCTTCCTGGTGCAGGATCTCCTCTTGAGCTTCCAAATCCCATAAGCGCCATGAGCGGTCATAGCTTTAAAAAAAGGAATTAGAAAGCAGATATTTATTCAGTTTCTACAAAGTACAAGGTATTATTAGTTGTAGCTTCAGTTATGCTTCTGAAACTATTCATAAAATAACATTAACAAGAAATTATTTTCTGGCATAAGCAATGTCTCAATAGCTAAGCACATCTGTCTTGGGTGCTAACTAGGAAATCATGACTTTCTATAAACCTACTTCAGTGGCTATTTTGTTTTCATTTTTTTATTCTCACCCAAGGACATTTTTCCATTTTTTGTTCAGACAGAGTGGGAGGGAGAGAGAGGGAGGGAGAGAGAGAGAGAGAGAGAGAGAGAGAGAGAGAGAGAGAGAAACATCGATGTGAGAGAGACACATCTTGGTTGCCACCCACACAACCCCAACCGGGGCTGAGGACAAACTGCAACTGAGGTACGTGCCCTTAGTGAAAACAGAACCTGGGTCTCTCCAGACTGCAGGCCAACACTCCAACCACTGAGCCAAACCGGCCAAGGCTCAGTGGCTTTTTTAAGCACAGAATCCCCAGAGAATGGCCCAGCAAAAATTCTGTTGTCTTTTTTCTTCCCCAATTCCACTGTTATGTTGTTCCATTAACTGAGCATTGATATATTTACTGGGCCCCAAACTGAATGTTGGAAAAACAAAAATAAAAAATCAATCACAGACAAATCAAAGAAATAGGATAGAGAGAACGGAAATAGATCAACACATATATATATGGTCAAATGATTTTCAATGAGGGTATTAAGCAATTTTAACAGGGAAAGGAAAGTCTCTCTTGCCCTAACCAAGGGCCCGGCCCTGGCTGGTCTGGCTCAGTGGTTAGAGTGTTGGCCCACGGACTGAAGAGTCGCAGGTTCTAGTCTGGTCAAGGGCACGTACCTCGGTGGCAGTTTGTTCCCCAGCCCTGCTCGGGGTTGTGCAGGAGGCAACCGATTGATGTGTCTCTCTCTCTCCCCCTCCCACTCTATCTGAAAATACAAAAATAAAAATATATCCTCGGGTGAGGATTAAAAGTCAAGGGTCCAGTCAAGAGCATGTACCTTGGTTGCAGGTTTGATCCCTGGCCCCACCTGGGGCCGTTCAAGAGGTAACCAATTAATGTGTCCCTCTCACATCAACGTTTCTCTCTGTCTCTCTGCCCCCTTCCCTCCTGTTCTATCTGAAAAATCAATGGAAAAATATCCTTGAGTGAGGATTAAAAAAAAAAAGTCTCTCCAATAAATAGTGGTGTACATGAAAATAAAGACAGGAGGAAAAAAAAAAAACATTTAAAAAAATGAGTAAAGTGCCCTGGCCAGTTTGGCTCAGCGGTTAGAGCGTCGGCCTGCGGTCCGGAGAGACCTGGGTTCGGTTCCCGCTAAGGGCACGTACTTCGGTTGCAGTTTGTCCCCGGCCCTGGTTGGTTGTGCGGGTGGCAGCCACTCGATGTGTCCCTTCATGTCGATGTTTCTCTCTCTCTCTCCCCTTTCCTCTCTCTCCCTCCCACTCTATCTGTACCAAAAAAAAAAAAAAAAGGAAAAATATCCTCGGGTGAGGATAAAAAAAAAGAAAATATTTGCCCTGGCCGGTTTGGCTCAGCGGTTAGAGCGTCGGCCTGCGGTCCCGCTAAGGGCACGTACCTCGGCTGCAGTTTGTCCCCAGCCCTGGTTGGTCGTGCGGGTGGCAGGCACTCGATGTATCCCTTTCACATCGATGTTTCTCTCTCTCTCTCTTCCTCTCTCCCCCTACCACTCTACCTGAACAAAAAATGGAAAAATGTCCTCAGGTGAGGATAAAAAAAAAAAAAAAAAAAAAAAGATAAGCCCTGGCCAGTTTGGCTCAGCGGTTAGAGCGTCGGCCTGCGGTCCAGAGAGACCTGGGTTCGGTTACCGCTAAGGGCACGTACTTTGGTTGCAGTTCGTCCCCGGCCCTGGTTGGTTGTGCGGGTGGCAGCCACTCAATGTGTCCCTTTCACGTCGATGTTTCTCTCTCTCTCTCTCTCTCTCTCTCTCTCTCTCTCTCTCTCTTCCTCTCTCTCCCTCCCACTCTATCTGTACAAAAGATGGAAAAATGTCCTCGGGTGAGGATTAAAAAAAAAAAAAAATGAGTAAAGCACCTGGAAACCACTCAAAGGAGAATATACAAATAGTCAATAAGCATGTGACAAAGTACTCAACACTAACAGTCATTAAGGTATCATAAGTGAAAACCATGCCTGTCTGGTGCGGCTCAGCGGACTGAGCGTTGTCCCATGGACTGAGAAGTCCTGGTTCAATTCCCAGTCAGGGCATGTGCATTAGTTGTGGGCTCGATCTCCAGTAGGTGGCGTGCAGGAGGCAGCAGATGGATGTTTCTCACATACATATTTCTATTTCTTTTTCTCTTCCTCTCTAAAATGTCAATGAAAACATATTAAAAAATAAAAATAAAAAAACCATGAGGTTTTACTACATATTTGCTAGACTGGGCAGAATGATAGGACTGACAAAACCAAATGTTGGCGAGTAGATGAAGCAATAAGAATTCTGTAGATGTAAAATGGTACAACCACTTTGGAAAACTGCTTGGAAGTTTTTTTTTTATCCTCACCCGAGGACATTTTTGCATTTATCTTCAGATAGAGCAGGAAGGAGAGAGGGGGGAAGAGAGAGACATCGATTAGCTGCCTCCCACACGACCCCAACTGGGGCTGGGGACAAACTGCAACTGAGGTATGTGCCCTTAGTGGGAACCAAACCTGGGACTCTCTGGTCCGCGGGCCGACGCTCTAACCGCTGAGCCAAACTGAACAGGGCCGCTTGGAAGTTTTTCAAAAGTTAAACATACATCTACCCTATGACCTAGCATTTGCATTCCTAGGTATTTATTGAAGAGAAAGGAAAGAAAAACATGTCCACAAAAAGTCTTGTCCAAGAATATTTATGGCAGCTTTATTCTGACCAGCCCAAACCTGGAAACAGCCCAACTGTCCATCCACAGGAGAACAGATAAATAAACTGTGGCATGGTAATACAACTGATTACTTACTCCTCAGCAATAAAAAAAAACAAAAAACAAAAAACTGCTGATGCATGCAAACAACATGAATGAATCTTCAAAATGTCTGCTGAAGGAAGCCAGACACCAGTAAGTTCATACAGTAGAAACAATTTATGGTGATAGAAATCCTATTAGTGATTGCTTTGGAAGGGGGAGTTGCCTGGGAAGGGGCATGAGGGAACTCTGTGGCATAATGGAAATGTACCCTCTGACAGGGATGTGGATCCCATGAGCATATGCATTTGTCAGGACTGATTAAACTGTGTATTTAAAATAAGTCCATTCTACCACATGTCAATGACACCTGGCTTTAAAAGTTCTTTAATGGATTCTGGCCTCACGAAACTTATAGAACCAGAAAGGGAGAGCAATTTATAAGCAGAGACATTATAATAAAATGTGTAGCCAAAAAACAAAAACCCTAGCCCGGCCAGTGTGGCTCAGTGCTTGAGCATCAATCCATGCACCATGAGGTTGCTGCATCAATTTTCGGTCAGGGCACATGCCCAGGTTGGGGGCCTGATCCCCAGTGAGGGCGGGGGGAGGGATGCAGGAGGTGGCTGATCGATGTTCTCTCTCATTGATGTTTCTCTCTCTCCCTCCCCCTTCCTTCCTCCCTCTTTAAAAATTTCAATAAAGAAAAAAAAAAAAGGAAAGAAAAATCTCATTAAGAAAAAAACAACCAAAATCCCAAAACAACAAACAAAAAGGAAATAAAACATACACACCTCTAGTATTGATCAACAAAGAGTAAAAATTCTAGTTTTTTTGACAACTAGTAACTTTAAAATTTACTTCCTAGCAACAAGCAGCAGTATGCAATTTAAGAGCAAATACACTTACCTCTAACCACATAATATACTCTATTTTGATCCACTGCCGTCCAAGAAAATCCTTGAAGATCTCTGTTCTAAAAATTTACTTGGCAGTTAACCATAAAGAGTTAACACATGATGTAAACACATACAAACAGAACAAGAGGAAGGCTTACCAAGTGGTACCCAAGAAACGTCCTGAGGGATGCCACATTACGCGGGCCACACGCACTGTATGGCCTTCAATATCTGCCACTGGTTCATCACTGAAAAGAAATCAAATACACATGAGTAAACTGTTTTATACTCACATAAATAACTATTCACTGAATTTATGAACTGTTGTAGAAAGACACACCAACTTTGTATAATTTGAGAAACTAAATTGTAAATAAACTTGTAATTTGTTAAAACTTTAGGTCTAACAACAATTTAAGTCATTTCTCAAGGTTTTAAAAGATTTGGGACTTCATGTACCCACAGGGCAAAACTGCCCACGGCACTTCAAGAAACACTCTTTCTACCTCAATTCACTATGTTAATAAACTCTTAAAGCTATAAAAAGATAAGTAAAATAGTCTCTCTGGCCTGGCCAGTGTGGCTCAATGGTTGAGCATTGACCCATGCATCAAGAGGTCGAAGGTTCGATTCCCAGTCAGGGGACATGCCCAGGTTGTGGGTCCAATCCCTAGTGGGGGGCATGCAGGAGGCAGCCGATCGATGTTTTCTCTCATAGATGTTTCTATCTCACCCTCTCCCTTCCTCTCTCTCTAAAATCAATAAAGAAAAAAAAGTCTCTGCACCAAAGTAGTTCTGAGATTTCAGAAAGCAAACAAACTTTGATAGAGATGTGAAGCTACAAAAATCAAGCAGTTTTGGTGCAAATGAATCACAGATAAATCTTAAAACTTTAGCTTGTTCAAGGATCCACATGGAAAAAGGAACTCCTATATGGAGGCTTAGTTTCCTTTTGATGACCATTAAATTCTACTACCCAGTAACCACAGAGAGAAGATCTGAAACTGCAGTAAAAGAAAATAAACAAGAACCCTAAAGAGGGCAATTAAAAAGGAAACTTTGTCAATGTGCAGACACAGAACTAATCAAAGCCCCACGGGAACAAATATTGCTAAGTATTACCAAAGCCAATTAAAACTTGTTGTGCTCATAGGTAAGACATTGCCCGGTAAAAAGTAGAGACACTAATTAGTTCTTTACAAAAGCCTGGAATAAAAGCCTTACATGCTTTCCCAAAGAAAGAAAACCAAGCAATTCAGATGTCATTTAGCCAACAATATGCTTCCAAATTTTCTTGAAAAACAATATTCATAAACACATTAAAAAAAGTTTAATTGGAAAATATGGTCTAGGTAAAGGGTGATGCTACTGGGAGGAGACACCACTTCCTTGGCAATACTGCCAGACAACCTCCCATTCCTCCCCCTGTGGCTGTTTGCTAAGAACCAACACGCTGCCAGAATATTATCTTTAGTTAGTATACCAAATACTGCATTTCTCCAATGTCAATCTACTGCATAGGAGGAAAAATGGATCTTTCCAGAATAACTGGAGCCAGGAAAAAGGGGCCACTAAGTTAGAGGCAAAAATCAAGGTCTAAAGTTAACAGTAAGAAAAAAACCTGACACAACTCCTCTGATGAGAAAAGGTGTAGAAAAAAATCCTCTATTCTGTTTTCATAACAAGTTTCCTTGACTCCTAGAGGGAGTATCTCTGGTGTTAAATGCCAGATTTTCAGGTCCCAAGAGCCAACCAATCAACTATTTAGTGACTGCAGTATGGAGAGAAGAGTGATATTTACCTGTCAAGGCTCCAAAGTTTCACAGAACCATCAGCAGCACAAGAGGCCAAATTGACATCTTTTTGGTCCAAGGAGACAGTGGATTTTGGATGGAATACAATTGCTCCTACGTTAGTGTTATGGCCTGAAGAAGTGTCAGAAATGAAAGTTGAAGGGTTGCTGCCCTCTTATAACTTATGTGTAAATACAGACTATGATGAATAATATAGATATATATTAGGGAACACAATACATACTGAATATTAAAGTAACCAATCAGTTGTTTTAAAAATAAACTATTTTGCCCACCCAGTGTTGCTCAGTGGTTTGAGCATCGACCCATATACCAAGAGGTAGCTGATTTGGTTCCCAGTCAGGGCACATTCCCAGGTTGTGGGCCAAATCCCCAGTCGGGGGCGTGCAGGAGGTGGCCAATCGATGTTATCTCTCATTGATGTTTCTATCTCTCTCTCCCTCTTTCTAAAACCAATAAAAAAATAAAAAATAAAAGAAACTATTTTAACTTAAACTATATTTAAGTCACACTAATAAAAGCAAAAAACTTTGTTTTTTCATTTAAAGCAGTGGTTCTTAACCTGTGAGTTGCGACCCCTTTGGGGGTCGAACAACCTTTTCACAGGGGTCGCCTAAAACAACAGTAGCAAAATTATAGTTATGAAGTAGCAATAAAAATAATTTTATGGTTGGGGGTCACCACAACATGAGGAACTGTATTAAAGGGTCGCGGCATGAGGAAGGTTGAGAACCACTGATAAAGGCTGTAAAATGCCAGACTGGGCTGGACATGAGAGCAAAGTGGTGTGTATATGAAGTTATTATCTTCCAACCTTGCAGAGAAACCGAACCCAGTCAAAACAAATCCAGAATTAATCTTGTATGTACTAGGTCTGAGTGTCAGGCAAAGTTTTAGAGTTTTACTGCCTGATAGGATTCACAGTATGAAACACACAGATTTAAACAAGATTCTAACTCACCTCGAAGAGTGTGAAGTAGGTTGCAATCAGGAACAGACCAGAGCTTGCAAAGCCCACTCCTATCAAATACAAAGGAAAGCATCTCAGCCAGGGTTGGTCTGGGAAGGAAAAGGTACCTTGGTAACATTACTAAAGGACAATCTATTCTCACCCCCAATAAACTTTACAGTGGCAGAGAGAAAAATAAAAATAAAAGGCTTATCACTCGAAGTGTTATAGAAGAAAGTTACATCCAGGTCTCACTCATCTGGACTATAATTAATACACACAAGTTGCTATCCTCCTTAACTTCTGGATTAATTTGTGAGGGAAGGCAGGATAAATTACACTATCCAATAACAACAACATTAATCCTTATATATGAATAACATTTTGCTGCTTACAAAGTACTTCACATTTCTTTAGACTTCTTTATTTTAAATTTTTTGAAGACTTTTTACTTCAAAAATTTCCAACCAATTACTTTTATATCTATCATCTCAAATGATCCTTATTAACAGACCTGTGAGGTATGTAAAATAGGAATGGTAACTTCTGCTTTATAATGAAGGTAACAGGCTTGGACAGGTGGAGGTATCTGTGTAGGTCTTTGGCTTTCTCCTGAACCATGGTCTCAACTTCTGCCTAGTCAAGTAGTTCCTGTGTATACAATGTAAGGAAGTTTCCCCTCTTACTATCTAGTGGGCCATGTCCCACAAAAATAAGTAAAACAAAACAACGGTATCACACTCTAAGTTTTCGGCAAATATGGCAGTAAGTAGAAAATAAAATAAAGATAAAAATGACTCATGTTTACTGTGTCCCTAGCACATACCAGGCACCAGTGAGACAAGATGTTTTACAATCATCATCTCACCCTACTATACAGATAAAACAACACAAAACAACAACAAAGCTTACAGAGATTAATTATTGTGCCTAGGTCACACAACTGAAAAAGAAAAGCAATAATGGGCTGTGGATACTAGTTAGCTTCTAGGCTTACTCTAGAACATGCTCCAAAATACTAGTGTCGAGAACATGACAGAGTGCTACACGTCATGATCTCTGGGGCTCACACTTGCCTTTACTGTATAATAAATGGTATAGCAGTAGCATCTCTAGTTTGGTGTGATCATAAGAAGCAGAGGAAGAGGACAATATAAAGATAGATATCTAAAACATGCCCATTTTTTTTCCTGAACCTGTTCCCTATTTAGAAAAAAATGTCAAAATATAACTTACCAACAAGCTGTGGCCAGCATTTTGGAATTGGGACTAAAGTGACAGTAGGAGATAGGCCGATCATCCCCAATCTGACTGCAGAAATTATTCAAAGACTTAAAAAAAAAAATCAAAACAATGATTATTAATAGGTTAATCCAAGAGTTGGATTTTACATTATAAAAAAAAGCAACTTCTCAGTTTTATTTTATTTTTTAATTTTTTCTTTATTGATTTTAGAGAGAGAGATAGAAACATCGATTGGCCGCCTCCTGCATGCTCCTCAACTGTGGATAGGGCCCACAACCTGGGCATTTGCCCTGACCAGGAATTGAACTGGTGACCTTTTGGTGCATTATCACTAGCTTCTGCATCAGCTAAATATAAAGACAACTGTGGAGAGATCTACAGTACAGCACTGACATACTAAAAGGAAGAATTAAAGAGCAGAACCACTGGCCTCTGCTGAGTACAAAGTACAGCAGGGTCCCGCCACCTAAACTGAAGGCTCCTCCCAAATGGCAACAGTGTAAGCAGGGAGGACTTATAGCTGCCTTTAACCTCCTAGAGGTGGGCCAAAAGAAAAAAATCAAATAAATTTCTAAGAACTTTACGACACTGGACAATTGCTGAGAGCACATTACCCGGAGAGATTTGTGCAGCTCTTGCATCTGGGAGGTCCTGGTTGTCTCAGGAATCTCTTTATGGAGACGGGCCTCTTCCAAGCGTTTCATTGCCCTATGACACACAAACAACACTGCCATCATAAGCAAATGGGTTTTAGACAAGGGGTTGACACAAGTACCTTACCACTCAATTTCATTTAAAAAAACCAATCATTATAAAGCAGATCTTCAGTTCCTGAGAGGAAACAAGAAAAAATATGCTTCTTTCTCCTTCTAGAGGTTCTCCTTACCTGGGCAGTGAGTAATTAGCAATCCATAGTCTAGCAACCTTCAGGCTGTTTGGTCCTTCATGGTACCAGGTTTGCTGATACTGAAAGTTTAATTAAGAGCAGAAATATTAAGTCTGAGCATTCCTGGCCCCCACTCGTAGCTGCCAATTCCCTATTTTAACTGCCCAGAAAAAAGGTGAATTAGTTCCATAATTGGATGAATCAGGCATATGTGCTTTCCACTGTATTTTTTCCTATGAGGTCTTATTAGATGGCTCTGGCTCCCTGTTAAAAGTTACACCAGGAATGCTACCATTCTTTCATGAACGAGAAACTCACTAATCTCCATTTATACCTACACAAGAACCACAAACTATTGCCAACAACTATTCCTGAACAGTAGAGTCTTCAACCTCCCCACTCCCAATCCCAGCATAGCAAACCACTGAAAGCATAAAATGAGAAAACTATTCCCTCATCTCCTTCAATGTTTACATTATGAAGGTAAAGATATATTTTACCTCTTCTTTGGACTTCTTAGATTTCTCATCATCTTTTTTGGTCTTTTTTAAGGCATCAGTACCAACCACTGAGAGGATGTTTCTTAACCTGTAACAAAAAAGATTGAAATTTGAACAGAGTTGAGATGAAATTTTAAAAAGTAGATCTAAGAAAGGGGGCCTCCAAGTAACCTCTGAGAGTCAAAATGTCATGCCTAAACTTCCACTGTGATTTCGTTCACTCAATCTTCAAGGTACCTAAGCTGAACCATAAGTAATCACCCTATTCAGTTTGGAATTAACTAGCTCAACACTGCTGCCACTTGGTCTGTGAAAAGAGCAACTATCACTCAATGCCACATGTGCTAAATACTGACTCCAGTGCTAAGTATATAACAATGACTAAGAAATTGTTTCTGATTTCAAGTCCTGGGGTGGGATGGGGAGGGGGACAGAAAGTAACAAGGACTATAGTACATTATATTAAGTATTAACACAGTGATTAGTATAGAATGCTAAGGGGGAACATAAAAGGAGTCCTTAGCCCTGGCCGGTGGTTAGCCCTGGCCGGCTCAGTGGTTAGAGGGTTGGCCTGAGGTTCAGAGACCTGGGTTCAGTTCCTGCTAAGGGCACATACCTCGGTTGCAGTTTGTCCCCAGCCCTGGTTGGGTCGTGTGGGTGGCAGCCACTTGATGTGTCCCTTTCATGTCGATGTTTCTCTCTCTCTCTCTCCCCCTCCCCCTCTATCTGAACAAAATATCGGGGAAAAAATGTCCTTGGGTGAAGATTAAAAAAAAAAGGAGTACCTAACCAAGGCTTGGAGGGAGCATCAGGGAAGGTTTCACAGAGGAGGTGTTACCTAACATGAGCCCTTATTTAGTCAGGTCAATAGGTCAAGAATGGGAGAGGGTTATTGAGGCAGAGGGTTCAACAAATGTAAAGGTCTGGAAGAAAGAAAAGCATGTTGAGCTTGGAATCACAAACAGTTCAGTATGGCTAGATCATGAAATACAAGAAGAGTGGTTTTCTTCTCTTGTAATTCAAATAGGTATAGCATTGCTGGTTATATTTAATGAATACAAGATAAAGTTAAAGGGTTTAAAGTGACTAAACACACAAACTATGCAAACCAAGAAAAAAAAAATGATAGGGGCCCCGGCCAGTTTGGCTCAGCGGTTAGAGCATCAGCCTGCGGTCCAGAGAGACCTGGGTTCAGTTCCCGCCAAGGGCATGTAACTCGGTTGCAGTTTGTCCTTGGCCCTGGTTGGTTGTGTGGGTGTCAGCCACTCGATGTGTCCCTTTCACGTCGATTTTCTCTCTCTCTCTCTCCCTCCCACTCTATCTGAACAAAAAAATGGAAAAATGTCCTCAAGTGAGGATTAAAAAAAAAAAAAGATAGGGAAAGATAGAACAGTGAATAGAAAGACAAGAGGAGGATCTCTTAACTGCATACAACTAGCCTGTCACCAAGAGACTTTGCAACTTTAAAATCACAAGAGAAGCATTATCTAAGGACAGTGCTCCTGTTTAATATCCCCAAAACATTTATTATTATGTTTTATGTCGGTGATTTTTAACCAGTGTACCACTAGAATTTTTTTTTTTTTTTATCCTCACCCGAGGACATTTTTCCATTTTTTGTTCAGGTAGAGTGGGAGGGAGAGAGAGGAACAGAGAGAGAGAGAGAAACATCGACGTGAAAGGAACACATTGAGTGGCTGCCACCCGCACAACTGACCAGGGCCGGGGACAAACTGTAACCGAGGTACGCGCCCTTAGCGGGAACCGAACCCGGGTCTCTCAGGACCGCAGGCTGACGCTCTAACCGCTGAGCCAAACCGGCCAGGGCCCACTAGAATTTTTAAAACATGCAATACCTGACTATGTAAGGGGGGGGGCACTGACCCCTTTTCCTTATATTGTCAAATTAAAAAAATGACAACAGCCAACACAACAATAACCATCCAGTGTGAATAAACATTATATCCATTTTTTTTGTCAGATTGGCAAAAAAAATGTATTTTTGGTGTGCCGCAGAATTTTCGTAATTAGTTTATGTGTGCCATGAGATGAAAAAGGTTGAAAATTGCTGTTTTATATCATCAACAAAAATGCATTTGTTGTCTAAATTTTCAAAGTTCAACTACAAATGTTTACCCAACTCAAAATTCCACATTGGGGAGGGAAGAGAAGGAAAAGAGAGAGCATGTTTATACCCTCTTCACAATTTATAAAGAAAAATTAGTACTGGAGGAAAATTGGCCTTAGATCCAGATTATGGGTTAAACTATATAAACACAATTTAAGATACTCTGTTAACAATACCTGAGACATTCTATTAGTTTTTGCTGTAAATACCAACTGGAATTTGAAACTAGAACTCTGTGATTAAAAGAGAAAAGAGGCCCTGGATGGTATGGGTCACAGTTAGAGCACTGGCCTGTGGACCAAAAGGTTGCAGGTTCAATTCCCAGTCAAGGGCATGTACCTGGGTTGCAGGTTCGATCCCCAGCCCTGGCTGGGATGCAAGCAGGAGACAACCAATTAATGTGTCTCTCGTACATCAATGTTTCTCTCCCCTCCGCCCTACCCCTTCCACTCTCTCTAAAAAAACCCATGGAAAAATATTCTCAGGTGAGGATTAGGAAAAAAAAAAGAGTATAAAGGCACCTTTCTCTTCTTTCAGCAGGACCCTCTCCAAAGAGCGTGATGGGCTCCCCCAAGGCTCTAAGGCAAGCCTTGACCTCTGAGTCGTCTGTGGAAACATTGATTTGCCGGGCTCGCTTCCTTCTCTCAAACTCGGCTAACACTTCGGCCTGTCGCTCACTGATATGCTCTTCAATTTCGAACACTTCCCCTATAAAAAGAACAGGCAACATCAGCATAATCATCAGATCTTCTTCAAATAGGAAAAAAGAAATAGTTGCTTATAAATGGAGTCTGTGTATGCTCTGAATGACAGTTAACTGTCTATCACACACTTTATACAATTTACTGTTTCTCAGTTTATTAACTTATGACAAACACAGAAATGACACAGTTTTAAAAGGCAGCAAAATAGTTCAATCCACCTCATTTTATTTGGCAACCTAACACCTATGTAAACACATAGCTTAGATAAGAAAGTAAAGAATATGGAGCATCTTTAACAAATGAATTAACTAGGACTACTATCCAGAAGATAAAATAGAAACGTTATTTTAACAATTGCCAAAGCTATTCTCTAAAACAGTCCCAGTATGGGGACACTTACAAGTGAAACTAGTAAATTGGAAATAATTACCTTGAAAATGATATTCTTTAACAATAAGGCTTTTTGAATAAACTAACAGCTACTTTAAAAACCCACACGAAACACAAGCATTTGGATAAAAAATGGTAAGTATAGCCCTGGCCGGTTTGGCTCAGCAGTTAGAGCGTCGGCCTGCGGTCCTGAGACCCGGGTTCGGTTCCTGCTAAGGGCACATACCTCGGTTGCAGTTTGTCCCCGGCCCTGGTAGGTTGTGCGGGTGGCAGCCACTCGGTGTGTTCCTTTCACATCGATGTTTCTCTCTCTCTATCTGTTCCTCTCTCTCCCTCCCACTCTACCTGACCAAAAAATGGAAAAATGTCCTCGGGTGAGGATAAAAAAAAAAAAAAAGGTAAGTATAGTGGTGATAGTTATGTTTAAATCAGCACAAAAGGTTAAAAAAGTCACTAAAGTGGATGTGTATAGAAAAAAAGCATGGGAGAATCAATGAGAAACTTGACAGAAGTCCTTTCTGCAGAGAAGTCTTTCCATTTTATACCCTTCCATACTGTTTGAATTTTTCATTTTTTTATTCCTCACTTGAGGATTTTTTTCCATTTATAATCAGATAGAGTGGGAAGGAGGGAGAGAGAGAGAGAGACAGAGAGAAACACTGATGTGATAGAGCCAGATCAACCGGTTGCCTCCTGCATGACCCAACCAGGGCTGGGGATGAACCACAACTGAGCTACGTGCCCTTGACTGGAACTGAACCCAAGGCACTTGGGTCCACGGGTTGACGTTCTAACTGCTGAGCCAAACGGGGGCCAGGGCAGATTAAAGGTTTTTTTACTTCACATATTTCTACATTGTGTTTTTTTTAAAATAATTTTTCTTTATTGATTTTAGAGAGAGGGGGAGAGATAGATAAAAACATTGATGAGAGAACATTGCCTCCTGCATGCCCCCCCATTGGGGATTGGACCCACAACCTGGGCATGTGCCCTGACTGGGAATTGAACCAGCCACCTGTTCGTTTATGGGTCGATGCTCAACTACTGAGTCACACCAGCCGGGCTACGCTGATTTTTTAACCCTCACCCAAGGATTTGCTTTTTTATTGATTTGAGAGAGGGAGAGAAACATTGATGGGAGAGAGAAATATCAATTTCGGTTGCCTCTTGTATACAACCCTACTGGAGGTAGAACCCGAAACCTTCTGGTGTATGGGATGAAGTTCAACCAACTGAGCCACTAAGGAAGTTTGATTCCTAATCAGGGTTCGTGTGGGAGGCAGCTCACTGATGATTCTCTCCTACTCCCTCCCCCCAAAATCAATAAAAACATATTCTTTAAAATTGCATTCTGGGCTCTGGTCAATTTGGTTCAGCAGTTAGAGTGTCGGCCCTCAGACCAAAGAGTTGAGGGTTCAATTCTCAGCCCTGGTTGGGGTTGTGCAGGAGGCAACCAATCGATGTCTTTCTCACATTGATATTTCTCCCCCCCCCCCCCACTCTGACTCTGTCTGAAAATAAATGGAAAAATATCCTCAGGTGAGGATTTAAGGGAAAAAATTGCATTTTGGGAGAATAACCGGAAACTAGAAACAGATTATTATGAACCACAGTAGTTCCAAACCAAGGCCAGAACTGTGCTCAATCTCCAGAAGACAAATGGAATCGGTCTGAATCTAAATACAGTTGACCCTTGAAGGGGTGTGTGCCAACCTCCTGTGCAGTGGAAAATCCACTTGAAACTTTCAACTCCCAAAACTTAACTGCCAATAGCTTACAATTGATTGGAAACCTTACCCATAACATAAATGGTTGATTAACACATACTTTGTATGTTATATGCATTATATACTGTATTTTTACAATAAAGAAGGCCAAATAAGAAAAATGTTAAGAAAATCATAAGGAAAATACATTTACAGTATTTATTGGAAAAATCTGCATGTAAGTGGCCCCACACAGTTAAAACCCATGTTGTTTATGGGTCAGCTGTACACACTGAATAATTCCTGGTAAAATTACTAACAACTCATGGAAGGAAAACTGTTTAATGGGTTTTAGCAAAAGGCTCTCTGGATGATGCTAAGCAGGGTAGGCAAATTATGACCATATACAGATATGTTTAAAACGAGAACATTTTTGACACTATAACCAGTGATATCTAAGTTTAGAAAAGAATTCACTGAAGAAAATTTGAGCACCAAAGATAAAGATGAACTCATAATTTGCATCTTACCAGAGGTTATGTTAATATTTCCTGCTTCAATTCCTGCTTTAAGTCCTTCTTTTCCCAAAATCCCCGACTCTCCTTTGGCCAGACGCTCCCTCTCCTTCTCTTCCAAACTTCCGTAATAGATGTGTGGTTTCTTCACAACAGGAGCGACTAAGTCATCAGGTGCCTTAGTTTTGGTTGCCTGCTAAATTAAAGACCTGGATTAACCTAAGGCTTAATCTTAGCAATTTACTGGGCTTCCTCAAAGGATAAAGCTCATCTTGAGCTTCAATTGTATTTCCTCCCCAAAGGGAAGAACAAGGAGGGCACCAGTTAAGATGTGTCTTCACTGATGGGGTGCTCAGTATCTCACGCTGGAGGAGGTTGTTAAAACTACTTAATTTCTCCAGGTGACTTCTCTATCAAAGGATTGCTTTGGAACATGTTTAATTTATCCGGCTGGAGTGCAATCTCTTCTTGGCTTTTACTGACAGCTCCAGATTACTGCTCATCACGGGAAATAGAAAGGATAACGGAAATAACCAACTGGATGTTACGAGGGAAGGGGAACAAGTTACAAAGGTACTGGTTTATACATTTCAAACGTTTTCAGACGAGAGGCAGTGCCTATGAAGTTAGGAGGCCTCATTACAATGAAGACGTCTGGCACAGACATAAATCTTGGCCAGAATACCATTCCCTTACGGAGCTCCGCTTCTGGACCCGTCCAAGGCTTATTTACCGCTCGCGGCTGTACAAGAGGTGCAGAGGGGCTCAAGCACATGAAAGCGCCTAGGAATCAGGAAAACGAACCTCCGCCAAGACCAGACCGAGTCTCGCAGCCTCCCTCCTCAGCCCGTCCCCTAACGGCCCCATTCCGCAGGGACCCCACAGCCCTCCGCACTCCCTGCCAGGGTGAGTTGAGATAAGTACCGTGGAGGAAGCTCGCGAGGAAGCCATGCTGGGCTCGGGGACCGCGACAGCCCCGGCGAAATGCGAGCTCTGCGGTTCAGACAATCCAGCGCGCGCCCAGCAAAGCGGAACTGCGTCACCGACCGGAAGTGGGCCGAGCGCGACGCAGCGTCCGGGGCTGCGTGGAGCACGATGGGAATCGTAGTCGGAAAGAAGGGAAGATTGTGGCTACGACTCGAGGTGTGACACTTAGAGCCTTCGAGAGATGTGCGCGAAGGTCGAGGTTCTGCGAGGAGACAGTCTCCGGGCAGTCTGGGAAGTGTAGTCCAGCTGGCTTAGCAGAAGATTCTTGGTGGGCGCTGGGGTTCCGGGAAGGGGCTGAGCAGGCTGGAAAGAGGTGAGTCGCGCGGCTTCGGGCTGAACTCCGGAGCAAATCGAGGGCTTCCGGGGCCGTTCCTCCCGGCTCCCTGGGTCCTCCTGTATTGGGGGAGGGGGGCATGTTGCCATGGAAACCCTTGCCCAGGACCGGTGAATGTTCCTTTGGAGCTGCAACAGGCGAGCTGTCCTCCCTATCTGGAAGTTCTCTCCTAGGGGCTCCCTTTGAGCTGGGTGAAATTGGGCAGCAGCCAGAAATTAAGCTCGAAGAGCCCTCTGGCGCCAAAGTGAAAAGAAAACCCGGCGGAGGAGCCACGGGCCTACTTTTGTTGTTGTCTTCAGCCAGGTCTTTGTATCAGATTCAGAGTGAGATGATGGATGTGAGGCGTCAGGTACATGCAAACAACGCTGCATGGTCATGTGTCCCGCTGGGAGCTGGGGCATGAGAGATAAGAAAGAGATGGTTTTTTTTCCCCTCGTCGGGGGTAGAGATGCTCAAAATGTTGGTGTTTCCCACCCCCGCCACAAGGACAGTTACAATAATAATGGCTGTTATTTATTGAGAGTTTACTAAATAAGCTATATTCCAGGAATGTAGTCTGCAATACGTCACTCAGTCCATACGATAACAGTGCCGGTGTGGAAATTAAGATCTAGTGAAAGATGAAGCTTATTGTTCAAGATAAGCAGTGGATGGTATTAGAACCTCTACTCTCTGCCCTTTTCCCTCCGGAGCAGCGCTTTTACCCATTACCCTATACTGCTCCCTAGTGGCAAGATTTTCGCAGTTTGCAGAAAAGTGAAAATGCAAAACGCTGTTTTTCTTGTACTTCTTCCGGAGCTTTGGCTTCCTCTACCATTTATCTACATTAGAATCAAGGTAGTATCTGATTTAGTACAAAGTAATTGGAAATGTGACATGCTAGTATTTTGTGTTGATAATATCACCTCTATCCCAACTTTCATGAGAGGGAGAAGGAACCATTTCTTCTTTTGTATACTTCACAGTCCCTAGCGACATCCTAGACACTTGTAATAATAGTTTATATCTATAAATAAAGGAGCGTTCACTTACTCATTCTCATTTAATCCTCACCATGTAATCTATGTATAATTTTTACGGAGGCTTACATTTATTAATCAAACTGAACAGCTTTGACTTCATCTGTAAAATAGAGGTAATTTTGCCAGCATCACAGAGATTTTGTGTCAAAATAAAAGTGTAAAGAATGAGAATGGAAAAGCATAGCCCAGTGCTGAAGGAACATTTATTTCACTTTATTTGGATCTCTGGTTTATTCAACAAAACATTTACTGCCTGATTATTATAGATATGCACTACTGGATGCTGTGCAAAAGAGAAAGATGATGCCATCAATAGATTTTAAACTCTGTGGGGAGTCTTATTTTTCTCCAAAATATTTTGTTAACATAGCATTACCTTGGTTTTGACTTGAGCCCCTTTGTGTCCTTGTTCTCTCTGCCTAGAATGCCCTTAATCCTTCTCTGTCTGCCTTTCACAAGTCAATCATCTCCTCCAGGAAGTCCTCCATGTTCCTTGTCCACTTCACACTTAACCCAGAGTGGTGTGGGCCTGTGTGATGCCATTGCATTATCCTCATCAACATTTTTAGTACATTATGCAGTTTTCTGTTTATGTGTTTGTTTTCTCCACAGATTGCGACTGTGCCTTTTAACTCTGCAGCTGGAACACAAGAATTGTTTGTTTGATGAGTGATCTATTTAGGATCTTTTTAGATCCTGAGGATAACCCTGTGAATTGGTGAGTTAGAGGGAGTTTTCAAGAGATTTAGTAAACTGATTTTAGTATTCATGAGTGATCACAGATCACTCACAATTCTCATGTAGAGTTGATCAAATGTAGTGGCTTGTATACTCTCCCACCAATGCTACTGGAATAAGATGTGATATTTTAACATTATTCTCTTAGCTAGAAAATGTCTTTGAATGTGATTGGAGCATGAGATTAAAGTGAGTGTTGCCTAGAATTCTCTTTTATAGGCAGCTTGCTATTTTAAGTTCATGAAGAAAGAGTTTTTTGGAATTACAGAGTTGTGGATCTCCATCATGTAATAAAAGTAATGTTCAGATACCTAAAGAGTTAGAAGTCTACATATGAGTCCAGATGAGTCTTTTCCACCACCATTCATACATGCTATAAGCATGTATGCTTACAAATTGATCTTATATTGGCAGCTGAGATTTATCCCCTTCAATTTTTCCTCCTCTCTGCATTTTTTAACAGCTAATAGTTCACTGGGTCTGGCCTTTAGTGTTGATTTCAGTATGTTGAGACGAAAACCAACCCGCCTGGAGCTGAAGCTTGACGACATTGAAGAGTTTGAAAGCATTCGAAAGGACTTGGAGGTAAGAGTACAACTTTCAAACCCTTAGAAATATTTGAAACATAACTCTTAACTTTTGAACTCTAGACTCTCATATCAACAGCTTATTTGGATGCTTTACAGGCATCTCCAATTTAATGTATTAGTTTCCTGTGGCTGCTGTAACAAATAACCACAAACTTGTGATTTAAGGCAACAGAAATTTATTTTTTCACAGTTCTGGAGGCCAGAAATCGGAAATTCGTCTCACTGGGCGAAATCAATGTGTCAGCAGGACCACGCTCCCCCCAGAGGCTCTAGGGGAGAATCTGTTCCTGACTCTTCCAGTTTCTGGTGGTCACTGGCATTGCTTGACCTGTGACTGCATCATTCATATCTCTGCTTCCATGATCACACTGCTTTCTCCTCTTCTGTCTGTGAAATGTCTTTGTCCTCTTAAAAGGATACATGTGATAGCACGTAGGGCCTACTCAGATAATCCACGATAATGCCCTCATCTTAAGATCCTTAATTTAATCACTTCTGCAGATATCCTTTTTCCATATAAGACAACATTTACAGATTCCTGGGGTTAGGGCCTGATAGCTTTGGGGTTCATTATTCATCCCACTACACTTAACATGTTAAAACAAAAACTCGTGATTTCTTCCTCAAGCCAGTTTCACCTCTGTGTTCCCCATCTCAGTATCTGTGCATTTGCTCAAGCCAGAACCCTAGAAGTTACTCTTGAGTTCTCCCTTTCCCTCACCTTTTATATGCAATCTGTCCATAAACCCTTTCATTTACCTCTAGAATATTTCTAGAACCTATCTATACTTTTTCATCTCTACTGTCACAACTCTAGTCCAAATAGCCATCATCTCTTTCTATATACTTTCAGTAGCATCCCAGGTGGTCTTTCTGCTTCCATTTTTGTCTCTTCAATCCATTCTCCATCAGGTATCTGGAATAATCTTAAAAAATGTTAAGATCATGTCATTCCATTGCTTAAAACTCTTCAGTGGTTTGCTGCACTGAAAATAAAATCTCAATTCCTTATGGCCTATAAGATTATATATGTTCTGGCCCCTCTCAGGTTTCACTTCCTGCCACGTGTTGCCTTGCCCTCTGTACCCCAGACACATTTGCTTTCGTTCATTTCCTTGAACATGCATAACTATTTATCACTCGTGGCCTTTGCATATATTATTTCCCCCTCTTGAGTGCACCCCTTTCTGCACATCTCTGTTTGAATGTCACTTTCCTTAGTCTGTGAAGCTTCTTCTGACCCTGTCCAACTTAGGTGTGTCATTCTATCCATGCTGGTTCCATCTCATTAGGGTCTCCCAGAGCACTTTATTCCTTGATTTTGTAACATTTGTTATAATTTACAATGATTTGTTTATCATAAAAGTATTTACATTAGGAACCTTGATTGTAGAAATCATGTCTGTCTTTTTCACTGTTGAGTTCTCAGGATCTAGTACATAGTTGGAGTTCAATGTGTGTGTGTGTGTGTGTGTGTTTTTTAAATCCTCACCTGAGGATATTTTTCTATTTATCTTCAGATAGAGTGGGAGGGAGGGAGAGGGAGAGAGAGAGAAACATCGATGTGAGAAGGACACATAGACTGGTTGCCTCCCACACTACCCCGACCAGGGCTGGGGACAAACTGCAACCGAGGCATGTGCCCTTGGCCGGAGTCAAACCCAAGACTCAATTGGTCTGCGGGCGACGCTCTACCGCTGAGCGAAACCGGCCAGGTCTCAAAATGTATTTTTAAGTGTAGCCTTACCCCATAGTATTAGATGTGCACTAATGACTTAAATTCTTCAGTGGCCATCAGAATAAAGTCCAAATTCCTTAGGCTGGTATATAGTGCCCTTGCTCATCTCGGCTTTATCTCTCACTGCTGAGTTATCTTTAACTTTACTCTCAGTGCCTATGCACACTGTTTCCATTACCTGAAATGCCCTTTGCCTTTCTCTGCCAAGCTAACTCCTACTCATCTTTTGACTTATCTCCTTCCAGAAGTCTTTCTTGACTGCCTACCCAAGCTGGGTTAGGTTCAACCTCTTTCTCCTGTGCTGACCTCTCTCTTAGTTACTATCACTGTCATAATTATCTGTTTTTCTGTATCCCTCTGCTGGGCTATGTGCTCCTAGAAGGCAGGAATGAGTATATGTATCTAGACCCAATGGAAGTGCTCAATATAAGTCTGTTTTCATTTACTGCCCTAGTAGGTATTCTGTACTGTATGGCAGAAAACATCGCATCATTTTTTTTGTTAATCTTCACCCAAGGATATTTTTTCCATTGATTTTTTTAGAGAGAGCGGAAGGGAAGGGGGGTGGGGCAGAGATAGAGAAACATCAATATGAGAGACACACATTGATTGGTTGCCTCCCACATGCACCCCAACCGGGGCCAGGGATCGAACCTGCAGCTCAGGTCCATGCCTGTGACTGGAAATCAAACCTGCACACCAAACCCCAGCGCTCCAACCACTGAGCCACAGTGGCCAGGGCAAAAACATCACATCTTGTACATATCCATGAACATGATGGCTTTACTATGTATTTTTTAGTGGTTTTTTTAGAGAGAGAGGAAGGGAGAGAGAAATAGAAACATCGATGTGAGAGAGAAACATTGGCCACCTCCTGCACACCCCCTACTGGGGATTGAGCTCACAACCTGGGCTTATGCCCTGACCAGAAACCGAACTGGGACCTCTCATTCTATTGGAGGACACTCAGTCCATTGAACCACACCAGCTGGGCATATGCTTCTTTTTTTTTAACACCTAAAAATTTATTTTCTGGGTACTAGATTACATTAAGGTAGTATTGGTAATTGTGTTAGGGGTGATAATGGTGTGGTAGTTATTCTAATCATCAGTGTGTTTGTTCTCAAATACTTTTTCTGACTTTGCCCTTCTCTGATCTGTTACCACAGGGGGCTCAGCTCCCAGCCTGTTTATAATTCTTATTAAGATGGATGGATAGCTTGGATTTCTTTTCCCTCTTCCTCATCCCAGAGGCTTTAGTTTCTCTAAGCTATAAAGTGCTAGTTTTCTGAACTTTGACTCTGCAGTGTCAGCTCACTGCTGAGTTAGTCTTTCTGCTAAAGGCAGTACCTAGTGGCTTTGACCTGTTTTAGAGCAACTTAGGTGGGGAGGATAGTTTTGTCTTGAACCAAAGTGAAACCAGAAGAAAACTGGTATTTCATTTGTTACTGAAATTAGTTTGATTACATTTTGATGACTCTGAATTCTGAAATAGTCAGCAATTGTTTGAGGTGGGAAGCTCTTTAAATGAATTCATCCCATTTGGATAGTCTCAGAGTTTCTCATGACTTATAAAATGATAGCATCCTTTGTTTTGTAGAGCTGTGGTCATGAAGTTATTTAGGGAGAACTTTCTAATGTTTCTTAATGGGAGTGGAGACTAGAGAGTAACTCAGGGAAATCATATAGGTATAGGGTGGGCAAAAGTAGGCTTACAGTTATTCGTACGGAAAATAATACAATAATTAATAAATAATAATATAAGAATAAATTCTCACCTGGCCTGTGTGGCTTAGTGGTTGAGCGTTGACCAAGAGGTTGCCAGTTCAATTCCTGGTCAGGGCACATGCCTGGGTTGTGGGCCCAATCCTCAGTTGGGGGCATGTAGGAGGCGGCCAATCAATGTTTCTATTTCTCCCTCCCTCTCTCAAATCAATAAAGAAAAAATATTTTTTTAAAAAGAAAAAACTAGCCCTGGCCAGTTTGGCCCAGCGGTTAGAGCATCAGCCTGCAGACGAGAAAGCCCTGGGTTCAGTTCCCATTAGGGGCATCTACCTTGGTTGCAGTTTGTCCCTGGCCCTGGTTGGAGTCGTGTGGGTGGTGACCAGTCGATGTGTCTCTCTCACATCGATGTCTCTCTCTCTTCCCCCCTCTATCCCTCTCACTCTATCTGAAGATAAATGCAAAAAAAAATGTCCTCGAGTGACAATTAAAAAAAAAAAAGAGGTTCAGCAGTAAGTGGGGAGGTATGGGAGCAATTCCAGTGATTAGAGTAGTCGAGCCATTCTTCTGGTAAGGAAGTCTAGATAAAATGTGTTCATTCTCTCAAAGCAAGTCATCATCTGTTTTCTTGGTTATGTAGTGGTAGTTAAGGGATTTCTTTTTTCATATGGTCAAATTGAGACATAGATTTTGTGAATTCTGCAGTCACTTGTGATTTAAGAACCAAACCTTTCCTCAGAAAATAAAATGAAACCCCAAATCTTTTGATAAGATGGCACAAAATCTTCTATTTCTGTGTTATATTTAACCTTATGATGTCAGTCAAACTGTTCGTTTCTGGTGGTTATTTTACCAGTCACTTTATTTTTCCATCTATATTCTTGAATAATACATTTACTGAAACACCCTTTTCTCCCCCTTTTCTGACAGCTCTGATCTTTATAATTGCAACTTCCTGCTCTGAACCTTCGCTCCTCACTCCTCACCTCTTCTTGGTGTCTTTGGCAGTGTGGGCTTTCCTCTGTCATAGTTTAGATTACCCTACGTTGTCATCATCTAGTCACCTGTTTCCTCAGTAGAGTGTGATATCCTGGAGGGTATGCGTTATATCTTTTTTTTTTTTTTTAATCTTTCTCAATTCCTTACCTGAGGACATTTTTTTCCATTTATCTTCAGATAGAGTGGGAGGGATGGAGGGCGGTGGCAGGAGAGAGAGAGAAACATCAATGCGAGAGAGAGACATCTATTGGCTGCCTCCTGCACGACCCCGAACAGAGCTGGGGACCAACCAAACTGCAACCGAGGTAACGTGTCCTTGACCGGAATCAAACCCACGACTCTTTGGTCCGCAGGCTGACGCCCTAACTGCTGAGCCAAACTGGCCAGGGCTGGGTTATATCTTTTATCATTATACAGTAGTCCTCCCTTATCTGCAGGGTATATGTTCCAAGAACCCCACTGGATGTCTGAAACCGGGAATAGTACTGAATCCTATATGTACATGTTTTTTCCTATATATACATGCCTGTGATAAAGTTTAATTTCTAAATTAGGCACAGTAAGAGATTGACAACGATAACTAATAATAAAGTAGGACAATTACAGCAATATACTGTAGTAAAAGTTATGTGAATGTGGTCTCTCAAAATACCTTATTGTATTGTACTCACTCTTATGATGATGATGTGAAATGATGCAGTGACTACATGATGAGATGAGGTGAGGGGAATGACGTAGGCAATGTGACATAGCGTTAGATCACTATAAGGGTGACTTGAACATGTGCATGGAGATACTGCAGTAGTCCTTCTGGTAATTGAGACAGCTATTAAGTGACCAACGGCAGGTAGCATTTACAGGGTGGAGATGCTGGACAAAGGGATTATTCATGTTCTAGATCAGCATGCATTTTAATTTTCTTCCTTTATTGATTTTTTAGAGAGGAAGGGAGAGAGATAGATAGAAACATCAATGAGAGAGAACATCCATTGGCTGCCTCCTGCCTGTCCCCCACTGGGTATTTGGCCCACAACCTGGGCATGTGCCCTGACCGGGAATCGAACTAGCAACCTCTTCGTGCATGGGTCGATGCTCTACCACTGAGCCACACTGGCCGGCTCAGCATGCATTTTATTTTTAAATAAAATTTTTTCTTTATTTATTTTAGAGAGAGAGGAAGGGCGAGGGAGACAGAAACATCGATGAGAGAGAACATCGATTGGCTGCCTCCTGCACGCCCCCCACTGGGGATTGGCCTGCAGCCTGGGCATGTGCCCTGATTGGGAATCTAACCAGCGACTTCTTGGGGCATGGGTTGATGCTCAGCTACTGAGCCACACCAGCGAGGCTCAGCATGCATTTTAAAACTAATAAATTATTTCTGGGATTTCACATTTAATGTTTTTGGACCTTGGTTGACCATGGGTAACTGAAACCTCAAAAAGCAAAACCGAGGGTAAGGGGAGACTGCTGTACCCACCTTGTATTCCGAACTAGCCAAACCTAGGATTTCAGTTTATTGTTCTATAGACCCTATCTCTATCCTTTACCCTATGCCAAGTACACGGTGGGTGCCAAATAAATGTTTGCTAATGGAAAGAATATTGTCTTAATCCTAAAACTTTTATACTTTCAGACCCGTAAGAAACAAAAGGAAGATGTGGATGTTGTAGGAGGCAGTGATGGAGAAGGTGCCATAGGGCTCAGTGCTGATCCCAAGAACCGGGAACAGATGATTAATGATCGAATTGGTTATAAGCCTCAAGCCAAGCCCAACAGTCGTTCATCTCAATTTGGAAGTTTTGAATTTTAGAGGTGGATTATCTTGCTTGCCAGAGCCCAGGAATGGTGTAAAATGATGGCAGAAGTACAAACAAGGTTTAGGGAATTGAGTGCTTGTAGTCAAGCAGAATGTTTTACCTCCTGCAGAGAGAAGTACTTCTGCATAAATTTACTGATGCTTGACTTTCACTCTAAGCTGAAATCAAACTCTAGTTTGTCTCTGGAAAATTTGACTCAATAAAACTTGTCTGAGTTTTAATTTAAAAAATAAATATATTTTTGGAAAAGTATGAGACATCCTTAATGAAGTGGAGCAGCTCTGTTAACCTCCAGACTAAAAGGTAAATACTACAGAGGTGACATTTTTCCCATATTTATTAAAAGACCCTAAGCACAAAACACTTCGTTCATCCTTGTCACTGACTTTCATTTAACTCATTCAGCAAGTATTTATTGAGTGCCCACTATGTACCAGGTGCCATTCTAGGCACTAACATCGCTGAACAAAATCAACAAAGACCCCTGTCCTTGTGGAGAGTAGATTGAGTGATTTTGTGTTAATCTGATCTCCCATTCTGAACTTGTTCCTCTGGACCCCCTAAATCCCTTGGCAGTAATGAGGCTTAGTGGAAAATTCTTCCTTCCCAAACTAAGCACATACACTTAGCAAACTGAGTTCATCTCATGCGGTTTTCCTTTGGATCAGGCTTCACACATACTGAGCACAGGAACAGAGCAGGGGTTGAATATTCCATCTCCTGGGGCTTCACATGAAGCCTAGGGAATCAGCTGGTGAGGCAAAGCAGACCTCATGAAGGCTTTCCTAACCACTCTGTGTGTCGAGTTCTGCTCTTCTGCTCATAAGGAGTTCATTTTCTATTCCACTTATTTGATCATATAGCAAGGGTTAAGATGGACTCTGGGAACCAGGTTGGCCGTGGACTTATTGTTGGTTAAAGCTGAGTAGTGGGTGCAGAGGGGTTCACAAGAAGATTCTTTCTACTTTTGTGTTTTTGGACAGTTTCTCTAAAAGGATTAAAAACCATGGATTGTGAAGTATCTTTAGCTGAAATTCCAGCACAGTCTCTTTCTTGCTGTTATCTGGAGCCAATGGTTTAAATTTTGTGAGCCTTTGTCTTCTTGTCAATATGATGGAGATAATATGTCTAAAAGGACAACTGTAGAAATTGAAATAGTGAAATGAGCTTAGCCCCATGACTGGTCTGTAATATGCACTGGATTAATAACTATCATTGTTGCTATTATTACCTTTTTAGTATCATTTTGTGAGTTCCTTGCAGTAAGTACTGTAACTTGAGTTGCATATTCATTCTATCTAGTTTAGTTCCAAGCTCATATAACAATAACAAATATTTATTGAGCTCCTCCAAGGTGCTAGGCATTTTCTAGGAACTCGTGATACAGCAGTGAATAAAGTAGACAAAAAGTAAAATCCCTGTCCTTACAGAGATTATATTTTGGTGGGAGTTGACAGGGAATAAATAATAAAAATACATATATACTTACTTTGGTTTGGATGCCTATTAGTGTTGGGGCTTTGTACATATTGCTCCTAATTCAAATAGGTATATCATTGCCTTTTTATAATTAAGAAAATGAAGGCTTAGGGATTATTATTATTATTTTTTTTTTAGTATTTTTTCTTTATTAATTTTAGAGAGGAAGGAAGAGGGGAGACAGAAACATCGATAAGAGAGAACATCGATTGGCCGCCTCCTGCATGCTCCCCACTGGGGATCAGGCCCACAATCTAGGCATGTGCCCTGACCGGGAATTAAGCCAGTGACCCTTCAATGCATGGGCTAACATTCAACCACTGAGCCACACCTGCTGGGCAAGGCTTAGGGATTAGCAATTATTAAAAGAACTTGCTGAAGTTTACATTTCTAGTAAGTTGTGGAGCCAGGATCCAAACCCAGGTACACTTGACTCCACAGTCCATGCTCATGATACAACACTATGGAAAAGACTATAAGTGGTGCTGAATGACAAGATGGTCATCTGGGGGCCAGTAGGAAGGGCAAATAGCACCAGCATTCTGCATTACTAAAGAGCTTATTTCAAGGCTCAGCAGTCAAGTTCCTAGGGGCCCAATTTAGGGCCTCTTGCCAGACAGTATAAATATAGGGATGGGATTATGATACAAGTTAGCTTTTATTTTATTTTATTTTTTTCGATATTTTGTTCAAATAGAGTGGGAGGGATGGAGAGAGAGAGAGAAACATCGATGTGAAAGGAACACATTGAGTGGTTGCCACCCACACAACCCAACAAGGGTCGGGGACAAACTGCAACCAAGTTACATGCCCTTAGCAGGAACCAAACCTGGGTCTCTCCAGACTGCAGGCCCAACGCTCTAACTGCTGGGCCAAACCGGCCAGGGCCAAGTTAGCTTTTAAATTCAGGTATACCAAGGAGTGTGCAGCTTCATGAAGACTCTCCTGTACAAAAGTTCACATAGATCTTCTGTCATAGATTAGCTTGTCATTTAAAGGACAGTAGGAGGAGAACAATATGAAAACAAAGGGACCATGCTACCTAAAGACTGACCTCTTAAAAACCTATGGTAATGGCCAAGACTCTATGTGCATAATGAAGAGACCACATCTGATATCACTGGGTAAAAAGACACGCACAGAATCACAAAATCAAAATATTTATTTTTGTTCTTTTGTACATGACACTGTTAAAACATTCCTACTATAGCAGTACTGCTCTCCAGGAGCTTACAATCTAAACAGTCAACATTAATTATGGACCCAGTGATTAAGGCATTATATCAAATGCAGACTTTGTATCTCTAGATGTATTTTCTGAAAGAAGCAGCTGGAAAGGGCAGGGTCAAAATTAAATTACATGAAAGTTTCCCCCCTGCCCCCTCCCCTTCCAGCTCCTACCCCTAGTTTAGAACTCAAGATCAGGGCCCCACAGCCTGAAAGGGAATTCCAGACAACCCTACTATAGAAGTGGTGAAGAAACCTTAATCTCTAATTCCCTGGTGGACACAGGATTCTGTTTGTGGGCATTGAGGAGATGAGTGTTCCTCCAGCAGACTGGAGAGAGCAACTAAGATTTTGTAATTGCAAATGATGCCAGGTAGCCCTTTACCCAACCTTATAGAAATTCCAGTGGGACAACTGCTCCTTGAAACGTGCTTAAGGTCTCCACCGAGTTTTACAATTTCTGTTGGTATCTATATCCACTGCATAGTTATGCCCACTGCATCAGGAGGGCTAGGGAGACTTAATAAATCAGACACATGGGATAAAAGACGTTATCTTCTAGCTATGAAAGACAGAAAAGGGAAATGGAGAGTAAAATAGGTGCCAATGAAATGGGGATACAGGCTTCTCATAGATTTGAACAGGGAGGGAGGAAAAGAGAAATTTGGACACAAAAGGAACAAGAAAGTCAAGCACTAAATTCCAAATGAACAGGGATACAGAAATGAAAGTCAGGTTCATTATCACAATCCACGAATTTAAGAAGGAAGGAATTTTGGCTTTTTTTTTTTTTTCCTCCTCCATTAGCTTCTTGCTTTGGCAACCTAGTCTAAGAATTGCTGGAATTCATGTTTTTCAGGAGACTCTATCTTGACTACCTATCTGAAGACCTATCCCAAACTGATGTTTCTCTCTGGGAATTTCAAACTCATAGCACTTCCTCTTCACTGGCCTTGACTTTTTTTTTTTACCTTAATGATAAGGTCCTGTTCCTAAAAGGGCATTTTCATAGCAGCTCATGCCAAGATTTCTAGAGAACACCAGAGTCACCACTAAACAGTTTTATTCTATTTCTGAAGGTTTTATTATTCCTTGGCTTCTGAGATAATAACAGGCTATTTACACCTTAATGTTGGATGCTGTCAGTACCTGTCATTCACTTCATGCTAAGTATCTGCACTACAAGGGCTTGGAATGAGAGAAAAGCACAAAACTCCAAATGTTGATTCTTAGGTCTTAACCTCGATTTAGTAGGCTCATAACCCTCTCTTGGTTCAAAGCCATGGAAGTACACATTCCTCACTCCAATATTTAACTGTACCCACAGAGAAAGTACAGACTTAAAAACCACAACAGAGGCCAACAGAATAGCTGTGTTCTATCTTCTGCCCTGAGGCACAATTGGAGTCTAGCACCAAGGAGGGCAGGATTTAACAGACCAGCATAGAAAAGTCACTTTATAGAGGTAGTTTGGACTGGGAACAAAGCTGTGGTGTAAACTAAAAAAATGAATAGATAAAAATCCAATGTGATTCTTCATTGAGAAGAGATTTTGGCTTCTTGTGATCTAACTAAAGCCCCCAAGAGTAATAAAGATGGTCACATAGAGGATGAGGATCTGCCTGGTATGGGCATGGATGTTGGGGGCTAAGGAATATCTGGCAATCAGCAGACCACACCCTAAGCCTCTCCAAAGACTGGGCTAGACTTTTGTCCTTCTGGCCTATGACTGGCTAATTTACACTGCAGATCAAAGGTCTTTCTCAATCTTCAAGCTATTTCCAAGATCTTTAAAAATAAGGATGAGTGATTTCATATATGCTGATAAAAGTTATTTTGGCTACAGCTCTTTGTGCATGTGTGCTTGGGCACACATACACACAATTAGAGCTGAATAAAAGTTTGTGGAATGATTAAGTATTGATCAGTAGCATTCAGTACATGAGTGAAGCCCAGACATACCACTTACCGATCAGTAATTCAAATTACCATGATCATCCCACCAGGTTTAAAGCAGAGATAACTTGTTAGAAATGCCAAGTTTGGGCTATGGGTGGAGGCCCAGCAACTAGTGTTTTTAACAAGCCCTTGAGGTGATTCTAATGCATGCTAAAGTTTGAAAACCACTGGTTTAGAGGCTGACATAAAAATAATAATCGGAGATAATGATTCAAGCTCTTTTGCTTCATTCAGTTGTGACAAACCAAGGTACCAAGTCACAGTAAAATGTCAATAGTTTTACTTTAAAATATCTATTTCTATTTTCTCAAATTGACTGTCATCTATTTTTATTGACAAGTTCACTCTAATCAAAATGTTAAGTGGGAACACAATAGATGAGTCAGCCACCCAAGAATGCATGCTTCTGCAAGCTCCTGACCTATATTTAGTTTCAAGCCACCCTCTGCCCACTACAAAGATTTTGGTGCAACACATTACATCTAGGGAAAGGCACTATGTATTTCCCACTCATTGAGTCCAAAGACTGAAACTTATTTTTTAATGTTAAGTTTGGGTTCTGGGTTTAGGTTGAGCAAGAATTTCCCTCAGCTGCCATGAATCCTAGCTGAAGTTAATCTCTTTCCACCACTGACCCAGGAAAAACCCACCAAATTCAGATTGTCTTGTAAAAATAAAAACAGAAGACTCAAAAAGAAAGCAGCTGATCAAGTCATTGAAGAGAAAGCTACCTGGATTAGACAAGAACATACAACTTGGATCTAAGATAATGATGAAGAAGACATCTCACGGGTGGCTTTACCTCAAGAAAAATGGGAATCTCAGCACAGGAAAAAGAACAGCCGGGGTGGGGAGGGGGTTACCACTTTAGCTCAGACTGTAAGTAAACCTCTGTTGAGCATGTGTGTGTTTAAGGAGATAAGGAGCAGGAAGGGAAGATACGAGTAGGAATTATGTCTTCCAGTCTTGAACTACTTCCCACTGCAATCGATAAGGCCACACCCTGGAGTTCGACATTAATGGCAATGCTCTGTGATGTCCACTACTACTGCCTTCTTCCAGCTGAAGAGAAAGTATCCTGTGCCGGCCCCTGCTGCTACAGCAATGCAGAGGTACCCATTGTAGGTCATGAAGATGAGCATGAGGAAGTAGCTGATGACCACCTGGATGATATGCAGCACTGTTTGCAGGAGATGAGGAAAGCTCAGCATCTGCTGCCTGCAGAGTAAATAGGGAAACAACAATCAAAGACCCCTGGGAGTGTTGAGGCCACTCTACACATCAGGAGAAAGGGGAAACAGTTGTCATGAAAGCTTGAACTGGACTCCCTCACAGCCACCCTGGAAGCTCAGGGGTTACTTTTGTGTATGTATGTTGTTTATTGGTCCCTGACAATGAAACATGATAGGATGGGTGGGTTTATAAGCAATGGCTAGTTATGGTTATATGTCAGCAGGAGGAACCCTCTTTGAAAGTAGGGGAGAGGAAGAAGGCCCAATCCCTTGACTTACCTCTACCTTGGATCCTAAGAGGAAAACCCAAACCCTTCCATGCTTATTTGCCTGAACATTTTCAGGCTTTCTACCTTTGCAAAGTTCACATTCTTAAAAAATGGAAATAGAATTGAGGGTCGGGTGGTATAGTAGAAAGCACTTAGTTAGGGATCAGGAGACCTGCCTATTTATCCCCTCTGTTACTTACTAGTTCTGTCACCTTAGGTAAGTCACAACCTGTTTTGGCCTCAATAAGCTCATCAGTAGAGTGGAAATAAAGAATGCTGTGTTTACTTGAGAGCAGGATATTGGCCTATAGGACTGCTAGAACTCCAATTTAGTTTTCAGACCTACATTTCTTTTAAGACTGAATCTCAAAAATCATTTGTCAATCTGTGGGAAAAACGAACAGTCATCCAAATACCTTTTTAGATGTAATACATACATTTGTTCAGTCATATTATAAGCAAACTGAGACTAGAGCTGGGTTGGTACAACTTTTTAGAGAAAGGAATCAACTGGATTCTGCCATTCTTCTATACTCTGACCTGAATTTCTTTTGTTCAAAAAAAAAAAAATTTTTTTTTTTCTGTATTGATTTTAGAGAGAGAGGAAGGGAGAAGGAAAGACAGAAACATCAATGAGAGAGTATATCAATTGGCCGCCTCCTGCATGCCCTGCACTGGGGATTTGGCCCACAACCTGGGCATGTGCCCTGACTGGAAATCGAACTGGCAACCTCTAGGTGCATGGGTCAATGCTCAACCATTGAACCACAATGGCTGGGCTGAATTTCTTTTCTTTTCTTTTTTTTTTTTTTTATCCTGACCAGAGGACATTTTTCCATTTTTTGTTCAGGTAGAGTGGGAGGGAGAGAGAGGAACAGAGAGAGAGAGAAACATCGATGTGAAAGGAACACATCGAGTGGCTGCCACCCGCACAACCGACCAGGGCCGGGGACAAACTGCAACCGAGGTACGCGCCCTTAGCGGGAACCGAACCTGGGTCTCTCAGGACCGCAGGCCGACGCTCTAACCACTGAGCCAAACCGGCCAAGGCTGAATTTCTTTTCTTGTTTATTATTATTTAGGCAGTTTTTTTGTTTTGTTTTTTTTTAATAAATGTCCTGACTATAATTTAAAAAATTTTTTTATCCCCACTCGAGGACATTTTTGCATTTATCTTAAGATAGAGCAGGAAGGAAAGAGGGAGGAAGAGAGAGAGGGAGGAAGAGAGAGAGAAACATCGATGTGAGAGAAACACATCTACTGGCTGCTACCCACACAACTCCACGGGGCCGGGGACAAACTGCAACCAAGATACGTGCCCTTAGCAGGAACCAAACGCGGGACTCTCTGGTCCATGGACTGATGCTCTAACTGCTGAGCCAAACCGGCCAGGGCTAGGCAAATATTTTATAATATGAATTCCTTACCTTCTTCCAAAGTGATCAATACTTAAAATTCAGAACAAACATTTATGTTTGCAGAAGAGTTCCTATCATTTCCTCTTTTGGCCTGCTGACCCACAGGCCTCCAAAGAGAGTTTTAATCAAGGTCAAATAGAATCACTAACTCAAGAAGGGGGGCTGTTTCAGCCCTGGCCAATTTGGCTCAGCGGTTAGTGTCGGCCTGCAAACCAAAGAGTTGCGGGTTCCATTCCGGTCAAGGGTGCATACATTGGTTGCAGTTCGGTCCCCAGCCCTGGTTGGGGTCACATAGGAGGCAACTGGTTGATGTTTCTCTCTCACATCAATGTTTCCCTCTCTCTGTCTCTCTCCCCCACCCACTCTATCTGAAGATAAATGGAAAAATATCCTCAGGTGAGGATTAAAAAAAAAAAGAGCCTGTTCAAATAAAATAGGTGCTTTGCTGCTTAGTTAACCCAGCTCTCCAGAACTTCCATCTGGATCTGTTCAATCTTCTTACCCAACAGTTTTGTGTGTCTCCATGAGAATGGTTCCATTTGGTCCTGGAACAGGCATAGAATTGTAGCGAATGCTGACTTGTGACTTGCGCAGCAGGCTCTCTCGGGCTATCTTGAGTCCTTCATAAAACATTGCTAGTAAAAACACTCCCACAAAAGCTCCAGCCATTTCTAAGTAGGAAAAGAAAAGATGGTGCTACTGTAAAACACTGCAAAGTCATTGGCTGGCGTGCTATCCAAGCTAGAAAGACAACAGAGAAGAGGTGCTACTCTCAATTCTGAATACATTATGCAAAAGAAGAATAAAACAACTTAGTTGTAAGTACCTACTATTTCTTGAATAGGCGTTTCAATTCTAAATCTTTCACACTGGGAAGCATTGGTAATGCTAGGAATGTATTCAAATTTTTGATTTAACATACTACCTGAATTAAATATTCCCCTTCTTCTCAGAACAAATTGATTTTGTGGATCCAAAGACATAACTGCACCTAAAGCAGTCCAATTGGCTATTCAGCTTGTGCAATTTGAACTTAAGGCACACCAACTCAACATTATAGACACAAAGAAAGGGGTGAGTAGTCACCTCAAAATCTAGGACTGAAACTAAGATGGGCCATGCCAAGAATCAGAAAAGATATAGAGCACTGTTTGGTACACTAGAAAGAACACTGGACTAGGCAGGTCTAGAAGGTCTGGGTCCCTGTCGTACCTCTGACAAACTAATTCTATGTGATTTAGGGCTAAGCATTTCACTATTTGAGGCTTGATTTATGTGTAAAATGGTAGCAATGTACTAGGTCACTAGCTTTTAACCTACAGCTATTTTGTGGTATGTATATGTAAAATGCTTCTTATGTCATTTTAACTGTAGTTTTATGTCCATGACCAATAACTTATCAAATAAGGAAACACTCTGGAAAAGGATGAAAGGATATGGATAGCCAAAGACTCCTATCTGGTATCTAAATTATTTTCTCGGAAACTCTTAAGATAAGCATTGTGTATTCTGACCTAGGAAGCAAGATGGTTATAGATCATAACCATAATGATTCAGTAATACAACAGAAAGAGATGCTGGATTTCCAGATTCTTTGTTACTGTTTCTCATGTGACTGTCACCTTCAAACACCACTTGATGACTTACTCACCTCCAGCTGTATTGATCACCAAGCCAGAAAACAACAGTTCCACATTCTTAAAGTCAAAGTAGAAGGTCATTTGCTGTCAGAAAACCAAAACAAGTTAGTTAGAGATGACTGGAGATACTAAATGAAAATTTCTAGCAAAGAAGCTTAGAACACTTAAAAGTTGCCATATGGATAATATTCACTGCAGTGGGCTTTCTCCCTCATTTTAGCATTACTACACAGGCATTCTCCACAAGTACTCCCTTTGTCCTCACCATCAACTTTGTCTTTTCCTCTTTTTTACACAAAACATAAAGACTAGCTCTTAATTCAGAAAAGAGTCAATTTTGAAAGAAAGGAGGAATAAAGAAGAAAGGACCCTGGAAATATTGTTTCTGGTGTGGCTCTGTGTTTAATCTACCACATGATCTTGGGCAAATCACTTGTTTTATCTGGGTCTGCCTTGGATTCTCCTTATTGGTAAATTTACCTCCCGTTTTTTAAATATCCTCACCTAAGGATATATATTTTTTTTATCCTCACCCGAGGACATTTTTTCTTTTTTTGTTCAGATAGAGTGGGAGGAAGAGAGCGAGAGCGAGAGCAAGCGAGAGAGAAACATCCACATAAAAGGGACACATCGAGTGGTTGCCACCTGCATGACCCAACCAGGGCCGGGGACAAACTGCAACCAAGATACGTGCCCTTAGCGGGAACTGAACCAGGGTCTCTCTGGTCCTCAGGCCAATGCTCTAACCACTGAACCAAACTGGCCAGGGCACCCAAGGATATTTTTCCATTGATTTTTAGACACAGTGGCAGGGAAGAAGGGAGAGAGAGAGAGAAAGACATTGATATGAAAGCCACATCAATTGGTTGCCTCTCACATGACCCCAACTGGGCCAGGGATTGAATCTGCAATCCAGGTACATGTCCTTGACTCAGAATTGAACCTTAGACCTTTGGTTCTCAGGCTGATGCTCTAACCACTGAGATGAACCGCCCAGGGTGGTAAATTGACCTTTAAATTATATCCTTTCAGTCCTGAAATTCAATTATTTCTATTACTCGTGTGTGTGAAAGGAAGGGCCCAGGGCCATCTCTCCCATGGCACTCACCATCCTCATCATGTTGCCGTCTCCCCCTCCATGGAAGTGGGAGGCTGAAGTGGCCGGGTGATGGTGAGAAGGTGGCATGGTACTGTTGTGGTCCATAGAGTTCATCCCCATATGGTGGGAATGGCTCATTTTTCCAGGAAACGTTGAGAATCAGAATATTCTAAAAAAAGAATTATATATAATACCTTAAAGATATACAAATCTTGGTTCTTGATAAATACTTAGGTCTATGTGCAATTTCATCCACTGAATAAATGCTTTTCTAGCGTCTTTATTCAGAATTATTTCTTATAATCTAGAGATGGGGAGAAGTAACTGTGTTCACAGGGATCATCTTTGGAGTTTGTGGCAGAAGGGATTTGTACCTCGAGTTTCAGAAATCTAACCCTTATTTTGCAGAATCATTCCTTGAATAGATATGTTCATTGTACATTCAAATTTAAATATGAGATAAGGAGAAGACGTAGTTTCTTTGGATTGCAGGAAACAGACAAATTTTGTAATAATGAACAAACTGATGCCATTAATGAAATTTAACTGCTCTTGGGCTTTCTGAGCATAAATGTCAGTAGATAAAAAGCAAGCACTTCAGATAATTCACCTAATTGGATGGCCTGTGTTCAATCAGGATATTAAGTACACATGTAGGACGACCAACCTTCAGCTAATTTAAATTTGAAGAAAAGGTCTACAGCTGCCCTAGGCGGGCAGTGTGCTCAGAATTGATACAATTTCAATCCTAGCCAGGCATTAGAATTAAGAACACTGAAAACAAGGCATAAATTGGCCATTCTATATTAAATTAAGTCTAGACAATGGTATTTTCAGCCTTGTATCTATACTACCACATCACTGCTTTACTGCAGAAGTCCATTTGGGACATAAACCAAGGAGCAAAAACCCCTGCAGCTGGGATAGGGGTGGGGAGTGGGAAGTTGGAACTTGAGGGCAGAGAGGGAGGTTGATGGATTCTCTTTCTGTGTCCCCCCAACTCCAGCTGGTGAAGGAAAGAGTGCATTAGAAATTCTAAGTAGTCACATTCATGAGCCTGAATGTGCCCCTCATTATTCAGTCAATCAAATATTTACCAAGTTTCTACTGTGTACCAAACTCTGAGCTAAGTGCTATAATTATTTAACAGTGAGTAAGACAAACTAGGTGCCTGACAGAGAGAAACAATTAAGTAAACAACAATTTCATGGTGTGATTAGTGCTATGAAGGACATCAACAGGGTAATATGATAGCATTACTAAAAGGCATACTTAAAAAAAAATCTGTAAGTTTTTATTGGCTTCCTGCCCCCAAGGGGTGCCCCACTTCTGCTGCCTTAACACCTCAGAAGCTTGGTGTCAGACACTACTCTGCCATCCACAATCCTGGCGGTGGTGGTCTTTTGGACGGATTACATGGAGTGCCTGTTGTCCAGAGCATCACCAAGCTGGAAGTCCTCCCCTTCTTCCAGCAGGCAGTGGCAGCAATCTCAGCTTCCAGCTGGACCTTGATATTCAGCAGGAGCTCAGACTCCTGGGCCTGGCGCTGCCCTTCTACCCCGGTCTGGGCCAGCTCTGACTCCAACTGCAGCAGGATATCCAGTCAAGCTGCTCTATCTGTATGACATAGCGCATCTCCACCTTTCTCAGGCTGTTCTCCAAACTGGCCTGCAGATTTCTCACGGAGTCCAGGTTGATGTGCCATATGTATCTGGATAACTCATCTCCTAAAGCAATCAAACACATCTAGCCCATTCTCTTTAGAAGAGAAATTCTACTTGCAGGAAAGTAAACTGGCAGCTGGTTAGTATTAGTAGGTTTCCTTTGGTAGCTCTAATCTAAGAAAATTCAAGCTCAGCATTTCCAGAATAAGAATGAGTACTAAAATAAGAATAAATCAAAGAATGGCAATATACAATATTGTTTGTTGTCTCAATTTGTAATCTGGAAAAGAATTTAATTTAAAGAAACTGGTTTAATCATGAGCTGTAATGTTTTGTCTTTGGTTTATTCAAGTTTCTCTAAACTCCACAGCCAACTTCAACTACTTGCTCCTCAAGAACTGATTCTCTAATTTAGCTCCACCCCACTGTTTCTGAGAACTGGGCTCAAGGTCCACAAAGTAGCTGTACTATACTTTTATAAAATCAAATGTTTTGATTTGTAAAGCAATTACAATGAATGGAACTTGTGGAAGAGTAATGAGGAGTGAAACCTTTGCAGTTTATTTACTGATTCACCGGGTTTCTAGTTTTTTTTTTCTTTAAATGTTTTTATTGATTTTTTTTAGAGAGAGAGGAAGGGGAGAGAGAGAGAAACATCAATCAGCCACCTCCTACACGCCCCCCATTGGGGATCGGGCCCGCTACCTGGGCATGTGCCTTGACCAGGAATTGAACTGGGCCCTCTCAGTCCATGGGATGATGCTCAATCCACTGAGCCACACCAGCCAGGCTGGATTTCTAGTTCTAGGTCAATCTATGTGCACATGTTAATTCTTGGCTAACACTCTTGTTCTTTTTGGTTTATTTGTTTAATCCTCATCTGAGGATATGTTTTTATTTATTTTAGAGAGGGAGGGGAGGGAGGGAGAGAGAGAGAGAGAGAGAGAGAGAAAGGGAGAGAGAGAGATCAATGTGAGAGAGAAACATCAATCGTTTGCCTCCTATACACGCCCTGACCAGGGATCAAACCCACAATCTAGGTAGGTAACTTGACCAGGAATCAAACTGCAACTTTTTGGTGTACAGGACAACACTCCAACTGACTAAGCCACCTGGTCAGGGCAACACTCCTGTTCTTGTTTAAAACCTCCACTGTTCATGTTTCTTCTTATCCATATTCTACTTCATCAAATTTACAAATTATTTTCTAGAAAAATACTAACTAAAAAAATTCTGACTATATAATTCAAAGATAGAACTGAAAAACAAAAATAAAAAAATCTTAGAATTCCTAACTTTCAATTTTATCCATGATAAAATCCACTTATAATATTTTATTTGCCAAATTTTTATAACTTGGTGGAAAGATTAGGAATACTGTATTTCTATTTACATTTTTGCTCATTCAGGCAAACTAGTTTTCTCTAACAGAATCAAAAGGGGGCATTTATCTTCTTTTCAGTTGGGTACTTGAAGTTGGCTATATGCCAACTAATTTCTATTGCTCTTAATACTATTAGATTTGGGAAATGAAATAGCACATTTGATACTAAATGTCATACAGCTTTGAATTTCTTTCTGCTTTCTCCTTTCCCCTATTTAATAAGTATGGTGCAATATTTATATAAATAGTTTTCAAAACTTCCTTTTATTCAAGGGTCTAATTCTTTCTCAGTCTACTTCTGAGGATTATCAAAAAAGAAGTTTCCTCTATTCCTGCCCATCCATACCCCCAACAGCATATATTGTAAAACTTAACTAGAGGGCCAGATTCTTTGTAAAATCTAGCATCGCTAGCAAAATAAACATGAATTTATGGACAGAAATTAGGAAATGAACGAGAAGGCTAAATTCTGATGCCTATTCTGAATCTTAGCACTGACCTTACTTCTAATAAGTTTTTAAACTTCAAATTCTCTCTTATTTTCCTGGTATTGCACAATGATGGATGAAAAACAATAATCCACAGCACAGAAAGATTACACAGACATGGTCATACTTCTACTACACGGTCCCTCTTCTCCCGCTCATACAGATGTAATCTGAAGCTTCAGACAGTTCTTTTGGAGACTGCCTGTAGTCCATGATAAGAAAGATAAGGAAGAAAGTTTTTATTCTTAAAACGATTAGGGTCATGTTCCTTTTTAGATTTGTAAAAACATTATACAAAGAGAAATCTATCTAGTTGGGCTTCTGTTTTGTGCAGTCATTATTTATGACTGGTGTCATAAGCTTTTGGCAAGCACAGATATGGGAAATTCAAGGTCAAAGATAGTAAACTACCATAAACAGGGATTTATGCTTATGGACTATGTTCACATGATCATGCAACCAGTTTAAATGGACTAATCCTGCCTTTTGATGACCTGTGTGGGGCCAGCAGATATCCTGAGAAATGGCTTTGGCTTTGTTTCAAGTGCCCCTATAGGTGCACTATACAATTCTCTTGATAGCTTTACAAACTCCACACATGTGTTGTCCTTTTGGGGAGGGAGGAGGTAAAGGAGATGCAGGAATAAAAGGGAGACCTTGATATAATTCAATTAAAAAACAAGGGCTTAGGTATCTCTCCATAACCTGGCATTCTAGGCTAATATACAGGAGTTTTTGAGAAAAAAACATAGCAGCTCCTAGTAAATGGGAGGAGGAAATACACTTTGATGACTATATAGGGGAAAGATCCTTCCCCTTGAAGGCTGTGATATTGTTCCACTCATCCCCTAGCCTCACATTCCTAGTTCAAATTGACTGGTAGAAATGTGACTGATAGAAACTCTAAGGATATAACCATGTAACCCTTTGGATATTTTAGCTGCCTTTCCTTAGCCTGTGTCCTTCTTGAGGTGCAGCGATCATAAGGATACTTAATTTTACCAATTTCATTCACAAAGGGTATTAGTAATCAAAGTTTATACAGGTTCTCAGCCAGAACTGGCAAAAACTTAGGATTCTGAAAGTTCTGTCACAGCAATGCACTAAAAACAGTAAATACAATGATGCAGTACTAGTGGAGAGAAAATAGGTTAGGTCAATAAAAAAAAAAAAAAAAAGGTAAAAGACCTTCAAATTGTGTACACACACACACACACACACACACACACTCCCAGATTAAGTCTAGCAGGTAATGGGAGTTGTTAGGGCACTTGCTATAATGGTAGAACTCAGGAGAGTTCAGAGAATGACAGAACTCAGGAGAGTTCAGAGAATGACAGAACTCAGGAGAATAATTGTCTAAAAAAAAAAGAAACACGTAGATTTTATCCTTTTAAAAATTCTTCAGTGGCCCTGGCCGGTTTGGCTCAGCGGTTAGAGCGTCGGCCTGCGGTCCTGAGAGACCTGGGTTCGATTCCCGCTAAGGGCGCGTACCTTGGTTGCAGTTTGTCCCTGGCCCTGGTTGGTCGTGCGGGTGGCAGCCACTCAATGTGTCCCTTTCACATCGATGTTTCTCTCTCTCTCTGTTCCTCTCTCTCCCTCCCACTCTACCTGAACAAAAAATGGAAAAATGTCCTCGGGTGAGGATAAAAAAAAAAAAAAAAATTCTTCAGTGAACAAAGGCTACTGTTTTCCCTTTTAACTTTTTTCCTTGTTGATAATAAAAATAAGTCCAAGGGGTCATCTACAACAAATTTTCACTACTTTTCTTCATAGCAATGGTTGAACTAAGATAAGAAAGATATTGATAGAACTGGCAAGGAATTAATATAGTAATTATTTGCAGGCTTCAGTGTATTTTCTCTTTCTTCACCATATGCCAAAATGAGCTCTACTACTTCAAGTCATCTGCACGGGATTCCCTGAAAGCACTTTTCATGGAAGAAACCAAACTATGCACAGTCTGCATACTCAGCAGAGTCTAAGTGGCTGAATGACTCATTCACTAGACTAATGGGCTGCAATAAAAGTAACCAACTTCCAGAGACATAAAGGGGAAAACTACTTCAAACAATTACATTTAAAACTTGAAGAGTCTTCTTTATGAGTGCCAGTGATCCAGGCAAACAAGAAATGCTGCATGGACTGACAAATTTTTAGAAGAGTAAAAGAGCAGCTATGAATTAGTGGGAGTGACTCTTTTACTCAGAAATTCTTGGTTAAGAATATCTATTTCAGTAAAAAGGATAAGTCAGGAACTGCCCTGAGAATATTATTCTAACTATCTATGGAAGACAGAAAGCAAACCTGTGATTTAATTCTAATCAACACTGTGTTTCCGGATACTGGTTCAAGGTTAGCCCCTTCTATCATAAATTTCATCTTTCCACATCTCTACTCACTTTACTAAGCTGCTCAGGCTGAGCAAAGAAGATGAGAAACCTGTTGGGGCAAGACAGATCCTGGTGAAAGTCATTACAAGAATTATATAGCCATGGAGGACAATTATTTTCAAGAGGAAGCATGCTAGAGACAAACTTAATTTCTTAAATGTACATTGTCCAATTTCTAGATCACCTGTGCCTTCTGGGCATACATGAATGGACCATACTATACCATACAAGCAACAAAACACAAATGCAAAGAACTAGTTTAACTATGAAAGAGATGCGGTGATAAATACTGTATTGGGCAAGCCATCTTATATGTTAGAGCTTTATTTTCCTTAACTTTATAAAATGATTAATAAATTTCCATCCAGAGCTAAAACTGAATTTCACTTTTTTTTTTTTCAGTTTAGTTTCTAGAACAGAATGTTTCTCTATCCTTATCCTAACTATTAGATTGTAAATTCTATAAGGACCCTGTCTTATTTATCTACGAATTTCCTCCATTTTCTAATCCCCTGTACATAGTAATAGGTTACAATAAGTATTTGCTGAAGTAAATTATTTTTCTCTACATTTTTCCTTTGGCAATTTAGACATAAAAAAAGAAATTAATTCTTTAATCTGCTAATGACACACTGGGCAAAACTCAGTGACTTTGAAATGCTATATAGCAATATTTGATAGGTATGCTTAGAAGTTATTTAATAGCTCTATATCAAGAAGCAGCAAAATGTAGTTGATATAAAAGCAACATAAACAAATTGAACTTGCTAAAAAAAGTTAGAAGAAACTACAGAGCTCTCGGGAGAACCTAACATTTACATTTGTTTTGGCCTAATTTGCCTTTATAAATAGTTTTGTCAAGTATTTGTTTTGTGACAGATGTGAGCAAAACTCATACATGCTTCTAAATTAGGAGAAATGAAGAGGATACACTATCTGCTACTGGCCTTTAAGAGGTCTGAAATGCTAAATCTACATCCTTTATATAAATTAAGTCTCTAGGGCACTACACCTTGACAAGTGCCACATAAAAGGACAGTAAAGAAAACAGAGAAAACTGTAAGATGAACCTACCAAATGAATAATCACATGGAACCTGAACAAATGACATGGTATAAAACAATGGCACTTCCTTCCTATAGATCCAACTCTATTCTCTTATTTTTTCCTCACAATATCTCTTCTTGGTTCAGAGGAACCACGCAGAGAGCTTAAGCAACCTGTTTAATGTTATACTAGAAAGCTGTGGAGGTACCGTGGCTAGAATATAGGTATCCTCATTCCTGGCCCAGGGCTTATTCTTTATTAAACCTGCCTTACTGTTAACCCAATATCACAATTTTGTATTCATAAATACCACAATGTTGGTCACTTTTCCTAATCCCAAGTAAATTAGAAGATTTACCCAGCCTGCCTCTAGTTTTCACTATTAGCAGTTCTATACCAAACATGGGTTTGCCTAAGAGTACCCCTGCCCTGTTCATCCTATATGATACATCAATGACATATTAATCTCTCTAAGGCATGGCTCTACTTATCTGCTCAAAAAATCCCACTGCCTACTAACCTTCCCATTGTCTATTAACTTCCTTGTTCTTAAATCTCTAAAAGAAAGGCCCCAACCTACCTTTCTGCCTACATATACTTTGTGTTACAGCCAAACAAGTTCAATCCAATTGCCAAAGTTTCTACTGTTCCTAGGACATACCCACACTTCTCTGTCTGGTATCTTTCTTTTTTTTAATTATTTTTTTCTTTTCTTTTTTTTTAATCTTCACTGAGGACATTTTTGCATTTCAGATAGAGCAGGAAGGAGAGAGGGAGGAAGACAGAGAGAGAAACATCTATGTGACAGGGACACATCGACTAGCTGCCACCCACACAACCCCAACCGAGGCCGAGGACAAACCGCAACCAAGATATGTGCCCTTAGCGGGAACAGAATCCAGGTCTCTCTGGTCCGCGAGCGACGCTCGAACCGCTGAGCCAAATCAGCCAGGGCAAAAAAATTTTTTCTTTATTAATTTTTAGAGAGAGAGAGCAAGGGAGAGGGAGAGAGATAGAAAAACTGATGAGAGAGAACATCGATTGGCTACCTCCTGCATGCCCTCAACTGGGGGATCAGGCCCACAACCTGGGCATGTAACCTGACCGGGAATCGAACTGGTGACCTCTTGGTGCATGGGTCAACGCTCAACCATTGAGCCACACCAGCTGGGCTCTGTCTGGTATCTTTGCTCACATTGTTTCTTCATTCTGGTATGCCCATCCTTACGATCTCTAATGCAACAAACCCTCCTCATCTTCCAAGGTCTAGTTCTAAGACCTCTGAATATTCAGATCACTTTTTGCTGTTCCTAATAACTCCACCTGGGACTAGTCTCACACAATACCTGAAATGTTTTTATGATCTTCTAAGTCTGTTCCTATTTCTGTCATCATGCTGATAGAACAGTATTAAGAAAAGGTTGGAGAAACAGCTGAATGGAGGTATTTCTCCAAAATTCCTTCTCAATGTCATCAACTGCAGACATTTAATGAGCTTCTCTTGGTTATTTCTCCTTCTTGACCCAGCTGAGGAGAGAAGTCTGGCTCCAACAATTAGGCCTGAAAAGAGATGGATGAACCATTTCTTCATCCATTTGCAAACCACTTGAAATGGACACCCGAGTGCCCTGTCTCCTATTTGTGAGATATAGAAATATCACTAAGAATTGGAAGGAGCTCGGGGCTATATCACACCTCCCTGAAGCTAGGTAGGAAGCCCAGGAATGTTCTGCTTCAGGGTACAGTCTGGAGTCTCCTGTGGAAACTTCCTCACATTCCAGACAGAAGTGTAAGCAACAGAGAAATAAGAGCCTACAATTCCCATCTCTGTCCGAAAGGCTGCTGCCTTGCTTCCACACAGCTACTTGGAGAGGGCTGGGCTCACCTCAGCAGGGTGAGAACAAGCAGTCTCCTCCCTGCCCGGCTCCGATGTGGAGAAGTGGAGATTGTCACAGCTTGGGCCCTCCTGTGGGACAGGAGTCTGACCCTGAACCCTGATGGGACTCTGTTGATCACACTGAGCAGGGTGCACAGAGCTGGATGGCCCCAGGATTCAGGGCCAAAGGAAGATGTGTGAGCTCCCAAAAGGAGTGTCCTCACCTACCCTTTTCAATGTGATTTTTCTTCTCTCCAACTCTACCTTCTCCGAGGGATGTAGTGACAGAAGTTCTTAGGGAGTTTCAGAATGAATTCGGCTGGTGTTGCTGTGAAACATGGAGAATGAGAGTTTCGAAATTCTGCTGTTGCCAGATTGAAACCTGAAGTGTTGCTACACAACAGGGCCAGGGCCTGTGAGAGCCCCTGCCCCTGCCCTAAGAAACCCCGGAAAAAGAGAAAAAAAAAAAAAAAAATGGGAAGGACCTTAGAAGTCATTGCATGGAGCGCTTCAGTAATATACAAATTCTCCAATAACTGTTCAAACACCCTTTGTCAGGCTAGTGTGCTGCTCCCTTCCAGAAATACAAAGAAGCAAAATCTTTCCAGCCAAGTCAAGTACAGAAATCTGAATCTTTTTTTTTTTTTTTTTTTTTAATTTTTAAAAATCCTCACTGAAGATATTTTTCTATTTATCTTCAGATAGAGTGAGAGGGAAGGAAGGAGGGAGGGAGAGAAACATTGACATGAGAGGGACACATCAACTGGTTGCCTCTGGCACCTCAACCAGGGCTGGGGATGAACCACAACCAAGATATGTGCCCTTGATGGGAGTAGAACCCGTGACTCTTTGGTCTGAGGGCTGAGGCTTTAACTGCTGAGACAAACCAGCCAGGGCAGGAATCTGAATCTTGCTATGTGATGGTGATGATCTGACAAGAGAACCAGTACTCCAAGCTAAACTGGTATTTGTACTCTGGATACCATTTGCATATATTTCTCAAGCTGTAATTTTCATTTTAGGCTGTACTCCCAGAAACTATGTCTGCAAAGAGAAACTTAACCACCTTCATATCCAACTTATTTATTTTTATTTTATTTATCCTCACCCGAGGACATTTTTTTGATATTTTGTTCAGATAGAGTGGGAGGAAGAGAGGGAGAGAGAGAAACATCGATGTGAAAGGGACACATTGAGTGGTCGCCACCCACATGACCCTACCAGGGCCAGGGACAAACTGCAACCGAGGTACGTGCCCTTTAGCGGGAACTGAACCCGGGTCTCTCTAGACCTCAGGCCGACGCTCTAACCGCTGAGCCAAACCGGCCAGGGCTCCAACTTATTTCATGCTCACTATCTAGCATTTATGTCTCCATCCATTACAGATTTACTTTTCCAAACTTATCTCAATCTAATCCTCTTCACATTCAAATATTCCACTGAAACAGATCTACACGGTTTTCCTGAATAAATTTAGCACTCTGTATGTCTCTCTGGCTTGTCTCATTCCCTGTAATTCCTTCCCCCTCCCCTACCACTTTCTGTATACAGCCCTTGCTCTTTTGAGTTTATAGTCTAGCTCATTCTTTAAGGCTTGATTAAAATGCCACCTTTCCCATGAATTTACCTTGAATTCATGACAGAAGAAATCTCTCTTTTCTGAATTTCCCTAGCAATTTTCTCTTATGGAAATTTTGACTTAGCTCTTTTTTTTTTTAAGAGACAACGAAAGGTGGGGGAAGAGAAACATCAAAGTGAGAGAGACACCTCAGTTGGTTACCTATCACATGATCCCGACCAGGGATTGAACTTGAAACCCAGGTACGTGCCCTTGACTGGAATTGAACCCATGACTCTTCTGTCTACAGGCTGATGTGCTAACCGCTGAGCCAAATTGGCCAGGGCTTGACTTAGTTCTTAAAATACAAAATAAAAAGTGCCATCTATTTATCTATCAAGTTCCTTGACTTAGTTCTTAAAATACAAGATAAAAAGTGCCTTACTACATCTGGAAGAACACCCAACAAATACTCATTCATTCAAAAAAGTATTTAATTCTTATAAAATCCACCAAACTTTCATTATCTACTTATAAGGAGCCAGGTGCAAAAAGACCATATTCTTGCCTTTGTGAAGCTTAATCTAGAGGAGGAAATGCTCAGTAAATATGTGTAGGTATATATACACTGTAATTACAAATTGTGTTAAGTGGTATGAAGTAAACACAGTACTGTGGTAGAGAATGACAGTAAAAGAACTAATTTGTATGAAGGTGGGCAGGTAAAGAGAGAAAGAAAGAAGCCCTAACGAGATAACTTTTAAACAGATAAAGTATTGGAGTTGAGTAGAAGGGCAGGGAGCAGCATCCCTGAGGCAAGAAAAGGATCAGTCATTTAAGGTCAGTATGAACAGAACACATTCAGAGGAAGAGAGGCCAATGAGGTTGAAGAGAGACAGAATGGGTATCAACTAAGAAGGCTTTAAAGATCATCTTCAGGAGACTAAATTTTATTTCAAGGGCAACTGGAAGCTATTTACAGGTAATAAGCAGGGAAGTGATATGATTAGCTAATATTTTAATAGGGTACTTTGGCTGCTGTGTAGCATAACTGGCCTTTATCTGTTGTTCCCTGATAGTTGTTCCTGCTCAAGTTTTTCTGTGAGGCATTCACAGAAGGAAGGAAAAAAAAACTTACACAGCCACGGGCTATAATCTTTTAATTTGCCAGAATCCAGAAAGACATCTGTTAAAACTTTAGAAAGATTAGGAGAAACTTCTAACTTCTGGGTTATAAAATGCTTTGAAGGGCAAAACTGAGGAATATTCTACAAGAAATAGCCTATATTATAAGAGCTTCTAAAATCACATGCCATCCTATATAGGTGAGAGTTAAACTTACAGAATATTGTTAAGAGCTTGAGTATGGCGTCAGATGGTATTAAGTCCTGGCTCTGCTAATTTCTAGTTGAATGTCCTGGTGACATGTCCCATAAAAGTTCCATGGGTCTTTAGATTGGCAGGAGGTACTCTGTATAGAGGATGCTAAAGGGGTTGTGCCCAGATTTCAATAGCACTTTGGTAAATGACTCAAATTTGGTATGATGAGAAAAAAGTATGATGAGAGTAGACTAAGATCCCTTTGGAACATGGACAGCAAACTGTAAGACACACAGCAAATGCTGAAGAGATTTTTATTGGTTTATACAATCTGTACTATACATGGAAACCTTCTACAGTGATATCAACAAACCCCACATTTCATTCATACCTCCCCAAATAGTAGCAATAAATCCAGAATTTATATGGCTCCATTTTTTAATGCCCTGTTTTAATTACAGTGGAGAACACTGGACTGAATCCAAGATCTAGATTCTGGTCCATCCAACTCTATGTATCATTTTGGGTAAAATACCTGTGTCAGAGTTTCTCAACCTAGTATTACTGACTTGGGGGCTGAATAATTCTTTGTTGTATGAGCTAGCCTATGCATTGTAGGGTGTTTAACAGTATCCCTGGCCTTTACTCACCAGTGCCAGTAGCACCGTCCCAGTTGTGACCACAAAAAATGCCTCTAGACATTGCCAAAAGTCACCCCACCTCATTGAGAACCACTTTTGATCTCTGAGTCTCATCGAAACTCAGGGAAACATGGACATAATTTCTGTCCTTTTTTCCTTTAGGGTTGTTATATCATTCAAATAATATAATGAATGGAAAAAAAATACTGAGAAAGAAAAAAGACCCCATGACATATGTATAAGCATTATTAATACTCTGCAATTATTATTATTATTATTATTATTATTATTATGCTCTGTGAATAGAGGCTGAAGAAAAATACTCACATCTTGTTTACAGAATGCATTGTAAGGCTTAGAGTAAGGATATGGTCAGTCTAATATATCTTTTAGGTGGGTATTCGATAAATATTTGTTGATTGATTCTAAATCTAGGTCCATTAGTAACTTCATTTACTTTTGAGGCATATTCTCAGGTTTTGCTGCTGAGCTACAACAATGTAGCATGTTTCCAAAACTAACTGCACTGGACAGGCCTGGATTAAACAAGAATCACTATTAATTTCACAGATGGAAAAAGGAGGTACAGAAGGTTAATTGACTAGCTAAGGTCATATGGCAGTCAGGTCTAGCGGCACTACGGAATTAGAATCCAGATTCTAGGCACTATGCAATAGAACCCAGGTTCTAACCTCAAGTCCAGTGCTCTTTCTATTACTTGTATCATGGTACTTTCATCCAACCATCTTGCATCCCTGTCTCTTAACACAAAGTTAGTAATTTTGCTTTCTGGGGACAATCCCAAAAAACTGAGATAAGGAAACAGAGCTATAGTTTTGAGACAAGCTTAGAAAGAAATGTAGACCTATTTCTATTGGGAGGCACAAGTGGATATTCCCTACATTTAGGGTAAATCAATGTTAAGTTATACAAGTGTCCTGTCAAGTCTATGAAGTCCTTGCCCATTAAGTTGTCCAGGAAGAGCTAAATCTAGTTGTTACCAACCTCCAGAGTAGTTGTGTCTTACAATGCTTTATAGCATGTAAAGGGACACAATTTGTGCTATCACTGTTACCTGCAGTATTCTTGGCTGCCCCACCACAATGTGGCTCTAAGTAGGTGAGAATGGCTTCCATATAGCCCGAGTGGCAGGCGACATTTCGGCATTTTGTTAAAATTCACAAAAGCCCCAAATGCCATTCTGCCATATATTTCAGTGTCGAAAACAGAACTTTTAAAGAATAACTCATAAAAATGTAACCATTTATTTTACGCCTTTAAAATACCAGATCACCTCTGATTATTATGCCTCTGTATGAACTTTCAAATGCTGAATGTTGCCACAGAGTCATTGCTCCCAACTATTGATTTGTCTTCTGGATAATTCTCAGGCAACATAGAGTTGGAGTCCACCTTAACCTTTATCATTACTATGGTTTGAAAGAACATACGACTAGAAATCAGGGAATATTGGTTCTAGCCTGCTTTTTCCCCAAAACATTAGGAAATTTAATCTTTATGGTTATAGGTTCTCAGTGGAGAGAGAGAATAATTCATCTTTGGGACCTATTTCAGTTAGAAAAGTTTAGGTGTGTATAATATTGTTTCAATGAGAAACAAATGCACACTAGTCTTTTCTAAACACACTCTGACTATTAGTTGATATGCTTTAGACATTTTAAGATTTCAGTGGCTTAACACTTATCAAAAACATTTCAGAGCATGTTGTCCATATCACTTTCTAAAAATTTACAAATTACCAACATTAAATAAGTATCTCTACTGAGAGATACCTTGCTGAAGCAGAAA